ATGCGGAGTTTTAAAACTGGGCTACCCCACTCGCTCGTTGTGTGACTTCGGGCAGATCATGTGTCTCAGTTGCCTTAACTGCAAAACGAGGGTAAACCTACCGTAAACATCATCCTTAACAGTGAAACCTTAGTCAGGAACGAGACACCATCAGTGCTGCTTCTCTTCTCTCTCGTACTAGATCCTGGTCAGAGCAGTAAAACACACAGAAAACACCACTGCTAGGGACAGCACTGTCCAGTGGCTCCTAGGTTGGCGGGGGCTGAACCAGGAGAAAGACTAGAGGTCAGACAATTGAGAGAAGTAAGAGGTGGGCAGAGGTCAGGCTTAGCAGAGTACAGCCGAGGTCCCAGCACCCTGAGACCCTGGGAGTCAGAGCAGAGGAGAGAAGACAGTGGGGACAAGGTGGCTGGGAGCTGACCAGGTTGGTATCAGAGCTGAGGGCAGGGTGCTACCAGGGGCAGTAACCCAGTACCCATCCTTGGCATCCCTGGGCAACTATTCCCACAGGGGACAGCTTCATCCCCAGCAAAGTCTCCACCTATAACACCTGCACTCATCGTTACAAAAAGCTACAGCCTTTATTAAATAAAAAGGAGGCAGGAGACAGATACAGGAACAAGCCAGAGACCCCTCCTTCCAACTACACATACTATATACAGACATACAAACAGACGCAGCTGAGTACATGACAGACGATTCAGTGGACGGACTGAAGGGCCGAGGGTGGCAATACCCTCCGAGAGTGGGCCCGGACCCAAGGGTGGGCTGAGACCTGGGCCAGAGGCAGACGGTCTGAGGGGTTATGTTTGAGCAGCTTGGAGATGAGGTCCTGGGCTCCCACGGGCACAGAAGGGGGGAACTTCAGGTCCACCTGCAGAGGTAGAGAAAGGAGAAGACAGGGCCCGTTGGTTTCATCCTGGCTGCTTTTCCCCTGACTGCTCGTTCTATTTGGAGGGCTAGGCCCCACAACTACTAGTATGTTCTTCACGCTCCCAGCCCCTGACCCCTGGGTCAGCCCTCGCACCTTGACGATGCGCCGATAAGTTTCATTGTGTGAAGCACTCTCAAAGGGGGGGTTTCCCACCAGCAGCTCGTAGCAGAGCACTCCGATGCACCACAGATCCACCTTCTCATTGTGCGTGCGCCCCTCAATCATCTCTGGAGGCAGGTAGTCCAGGGTGCCACACATGGTCTTCCTCCTGGGTGGGGTGGGGTGGGGTGGTGGGCAGGGATCTCAGAGACTCTCCTTTCCTAGTTGCCTGACAACAGTGAGCCAAGACCCCAGGATGCACAGGGATGCAACAAGCCCTGGTCTGACAGGGCCTGTGGGGTAGCAGTGGGTGAAGCCATAAACCAAAGCCCCAGAGGTGGGTTTGTACACTGCCCAGCATTTCCAAACTGAGGGATGTGTCTTAAAATAATCAGGTGAGCCGAAACCGGTTTGGCTCAGTGGATAGAGCGTCGGCCTGCGGACTGAAGGGTCCCGGGTTCGATTCCGGTCAAGGGCATGTACCTGGGTTGCGGGCACATCCCCAGTAGGAGATGTGCAGGAGGCAGCTGATCGATGTTTTTCTCTCATCGATGTTTCTAACTATCTCTCTCCCTTCCTCTCTGTAAAAAATCAATAAAATATATTTTAAAAAAATCAGGTGAGAGGGCAACGCTCACCTTAGAATTAAAGGGAAAATTGGAGACAACTTTAATGCCCATCAAGCATGTCCTACTGAAATAAATCACATTATAGCTCCGCTCTGCAACAGTAGGAGCCATTAAAAATGATGTGGGAGAATTCCCAGTATGGCAAGAGGGCCCCAATCTATTGAATAAGAAACGTGGGCAATAAAACCGAGTCTCCTGTTTTTGTAAAGGTATTGCTATGTCTGTCTATATATTCACACGTGGACAAACCCCAGTGTTTCTAGGTAACAAGATCTGAACCTCCCGGCCTCACCCAGGGCTGGCCTCCCGGCACAACATACCTCAGGGAGGGGGCGTGTACAGACCAACCGAAGTCCGCAATCTTCAGCTCCCCCTGGAGCCCCAGGAGCAGGTTCTCTGGCTTTATGTCTCTGTGAATCACCTTCTTCTTGTGGCAGTACATCAGAGCGTCCGCCAGTTCCTCCATGATCTGGGAAGGCCCATGACAGGCGGTCAGACCAGGACGGACCTCCGGCTGCCAGCAGCACCGCCCCCACCCCCAGCCTCAGGCCCACTGTGGGCGTCCCAGGTGCCCACCCCTTCCCAACCGTGGCTGTTCGCTGCTGGTCAAAAGTGCGGCTCTTCTGCAGCTCCTTGTAGAGCTCCCCGCGGGGGGCATACTCCAGAATCAAGTAGATCCTTCGACGGTCATAGAAATAGTTGTAGAGACGCAAGATGTTGGGATGCCTGGGAGGAGAGACATAGAGGCCTCAGGCCACATCCGGGCATAAGGAAATGGGGAAGATGACAGGTCAAAGTTGGACCTGGCTGGGGACACCAGGGCTGGAGGTGGTAAGGGAGAACTGGAGACAGGTCTCTGGGTTCAAGGCTCTGGCTGCAATCGAGAGCTCAGTGGGGCTGCGTGGGCACAGCCGCAGAGAAAACAGTCTGGATGAGGTGGGGCTGAGAGGAGCTGGGGGGGGGGGGGGCAGGGGGACTCTGGCTCCGAGGGCAGTGACCGTACTGTAGATGGGCCTGGATTTCGATCTCCCTGCGAAGCTGGTGCTCCACACCCTCCTTCTCTATCTGAGACTTGAAGAGGACCTTGAGCGCCACGATGAAACGGCTTTTCTTCTCCCGAGCCAAGTACACATTTCCAAACTTGCCTTTGCCCAGAGGACGCCCAATCTCAAAGTCATCGATTGTGAAGGACCGCCTGATCAGAGAGTGGGGGGAAGGCAGCTGAGCAAGGGTTTGTGGGCCACCTGAGGTGTCTGCCTTCTCTCTGCTCCTCAGCCCCGCTTCTCTCCCAAGGGAGCTGAAGCTAGACCAGGCTTTCCGGCCGCATCCCTGTTCCTCCTGCCCTCAGCTTCCACCTCCCTCATTTCCCACCTGTTCCCTGCCCCACCCTCACCCTTGCCACCCCCACGGCTTGGGCACTTACATTAAGTTGGGTGTCCCATTGCTGTTCTGGCCAGGGGCAGCTAAGAAAAGAACCGGAAAGTTGAGGCTGTCCTTTAACATTTTCATCCCTGCACCCTCCCAGCCTCGAGTCCCCTTAGGCCAGAGGTTCTCAACCTGTGGGTTGCCAACCTGTGGGTCGCGACCCCTTTGGGGGTGGAACGACCCTTTCACAGGGGTCGCCTAAGACCATCGGAAAACACATCTATAATTACATATTGCTTTTGTGATTAATCACTATGCTTTCATGATGTTCAATTTGTAACAATGAAAATACATCCTGCATATCAGATATTTACATGACGATTCATAACAGTAGCAAAATTACAGTTATGAAGTAGCGACGAAAATAATTTTATGGTTGGGGGTCACCACAACATGAGGGACTGTATGAAAGGGTCGCGGCGTTAGGGAGGTTGAGAACCGCTGCCTTAGGCAATCCTCCTCCCCGAGTCCCAGTTACCTGTGGGCTGGGCATTGGAGCGGCTCATGAGGACGAGCGAAGACGGGGTGGTGGGGTCCTTCTGGAGGACTCTCTGTGGCAGGGTGTTCAGGCCACACTGAGCCTGAGAAGGAGCAGAGGGGGCTCTGAGGATGCCTTTGTCCCAGTGACCGGTTTGGAATGTGCTGCAAGCAGCACTTCAGTACTTGCTATGGAGCCACCCCCACCCACCCAACCCCAGTTCAAAGAGGAACAATGAGACCACACTATTGCTGTTCAGCCCCAAAAATCTGCTCAGAACCCCATATTAATGGGTTATTCATACACAAGCCAAGTCAGCCTAAGATACGGAGCAAAGGACTTACCCCAATACCTAACATTTCACCTCTTGGGCCTGGCCCGCACCACATTCTCAAGCATGAAGCTGTCCAACCTCTATGGTCCTATTCATAACCTCATAACTTGACCGATTCGTCCGGCTCACCACCCTCCCCCCGCCCAGGGCAGTAGAAGGCTGGGGTAATGAACATCCATAATTCAAGGAGTTTTAGCACAGAGACATTCTCAGTCCCCTAAAAATCTCAGTTCAACCCTGGCCAGTGTGGCTCAGCTGGTCGGAGCGTCATCCTGTACACCAAAAGGTGACAGGTTCGATTCCTGGTCAGGGCATATACCCAAGTTGTGGGTTTGATCCCTGGTCCGGGGCATGTGTGGGAGGCAACCAAGAGACATTTCTCACATAGATGTTTCTCTCTCTCTCTCTCAAAATCAATAATGAGATGCACAAAAATGTCACAACAGCTTAATTCATAACAGTCAAAACCTGGGAGCGACCCAAATATCTACCAATGTGTAAATAAACGATGGCGTATTCACATTAACAGACCACTACACTGCAATGGAAAAGAATAAACTTCTGATATATGCAATAACATGGATTTCAAAGACACAAAAAATATATATACTGTACTATTTATTAAAAACATTTTTTTAAAAATCTCAGTCTATTAAGGCTTGGATAAGGTCCTGGAGGCCTTGACTATTCAGCAAATGCCAGCATTTACCCCTTCGCAACAACAGACTTTAGGGACACTGCGGGAATACGCCGATGGCCTTGGACCACTTCCCACTTTCAGATTCTGGGAAATATACAAAACTGTCCTTTGGGAGTGACCATTGTAGAAGTGACAATGGTTTCTCAGTCAGCCTCCACTCTCACAGACTCACTCAGTACTCCATGAGGGAGGGAGCTGGGGGACAGGGGACAGATGGATCCTCCAGGATACCCAAGCCCTACACATGTGTGTGACACCTGCCTTCCTTCCTTCCTCCTTTAGCCAAGAGAGGAAGAAAGTCTCAGGGGCCCTAAAAGCCTGTTCCCAGGGAACATATGAGCATAGAATTTACAAATATGGGTATAGAATTTACAAATAAGCCAGTTGGACAAAACAGAGTCGAGAAATAGACTCACATAGATGTGGGAACTGAATATAATAATAAAGGTGGCATTTCAAATCAGAGGGTAGTAGACTCTTCAATGAAAGGTGTTGGAACAACCGGAAAAATAAATCTATTTAGATCCTTATCTCACACCCGTCTTTAAAATAAATTCCAAAACGATTAAGCCTGTTACTTTCAGGACAAGGGCTGGTCATCGTGGCCTAAAGGGCCGACCCTGGCGGCTCAGTCTCAGTTACCGTTTGTATATAACAAGCAGGTTAAGCCCAGAGGTCCTCAGATTCAAGCCGGCAACCCTTGGCGGGATGTGGCTGCAGATAAGCAGAGCAAGTGCCGCCAGCAAACTCCGGGAGCACAGTGGCAAAGAAAGTGCTTGGAGATCGCCTTCTGCAGGGTCTCAGCTCTCCAGGCAGGAACTCGCCATGCGGGTAGGGGTAAGTAGCAAAGCCCTTACCGTTTGCCGGCCGTAGGGCCACGGGTAGGCGTTCTCCTTCTGAGTCATCCTTAGAGGGAAAGGGGGAGGAGAGCTGAGCAAAGGGAAACAGAGCCGTGAGAAGCAGAAAACCAGAGGGAGCGAGCAAGGGAGGGGTCGGATTGATCTCGCCGGAAGCGATTGCCTGGGGCTGGTATAACACTCCGATCGCTCCGGGCGCGCCCGGCCGCTGGCCCCGACAGCCCTGCCCGGCTCCACGCCCCACCCCTTTCCAGGACCCTCTCTCCACCCTGGGGCGCACAGCAGCCGGTCGGGTGCGCGCCCAACGGACCCCAGATCCTCCCGGTCACCAGCCCTCTCCCGGCGCAAAAGGAGGTCTGCTCACCCGAGGCCCGCGGCACAGCCAACCTCCCGGCCGCCGGCGAACGACTGAATCGCCCCTTGCGCGCTCCCGCCGAGGCCCTTTCAAATCTCCTGCTTTGGCCCTATTGGCCGAGTGCGCCGCCCATGCTCAATTCTCATTGGCTGGATGTCCAGGGACGTTGCCCACGAGGGACCAATGGAAGCAGCGGAATGAGAGCGGCAGCACGCTCGGCTTCTGCGTTAGAAACGTTTCCCTTATGCCCCAACCAAATATTCTCATGTCCTTTTTTCTTCTTCTTAATTTAAACCTTTAATATTGCTGGGACGTAGCCTTGTGTGTATATGAACTGGGGTCTAACTTTGTTTTCTGCCAGATGGAGAGCCAGTTATGCAGCGCCATTTGCTAAATAAACTACACTGTTCCCAGGGGAATTTCAATGCTACCCTTGGAATGAATGAATGAATGAATATATAAATAATTAAAATAATTAAGTAAGTAAGTAAATGCTACCCTTGCTATATGAAGTCATCATAGATACTTGGATCTACTTCTGGACTCTTTATTGTTATACTGCTTGTTTCCTTGTGTGTTTATTCTTATGTCATTACTATTTTGTTCCTTAAAGTCCGCTCACATTCCTAATAAGAATTTCCCACCAGCAGACCTTTCTCTGCGTCTCCTGATGAAGGCCACATTGTTTGGACCCACTCTCACTTCTTACCTTCCTGTCACACTCCCTTTTACTCTGCTCTTTACGACCTCAAATTTCGTTGTTGGGTTAAATAAATTCAAATAACTAGTGGATATTTGTAAGTGGTGTTGCCTGTCCAGCACCCTTCCTCTTTCTTCAAATAATATCAAGTAATAACACCCTAATTTTTCCTGTCTCCCATTCTGTTGTCTGTTTCTGTTGCTGCCAACTCCAAATTCCTAAGGAGTGGACACTGTGGTTATGTAACCAGCCTCCATCTCTGAGTGATTCCCACTTCCTGAAAGTACTTAGAGTTTTGGGAGAAAGATGTGACCCTCTCCCAGGTTCAGGAGTGAACTCTGTTCGATTTATACTAGTCAACACCTTTTCATCCGAGATCATCCAGGATCATGGTCACTGATTCAGGCATAAGCATGTGACCTATGGGGGCCATTTAGTAGGAGTTTTAGAATTTTCCAGAATGCTGGGCAGAAACTCCTTTTCTCCTGCTAGATGTGGACAAGAAACCATGCAGCCTGCATTGAAGCTGACGTTACAGGAGGCAGAAGAGAGACCTGGGCAGAACTAAGGCCTTGATGATATTGTTGAGTCTCTGGGTGCCTATTTCAGCACTTTCCTTAAGTGAGTCCAGGTCTCCTTCCCTAATGCACTGAATTAAAATTTCTGTTATTTGCTTTCAAAAGCATACTAACAGACACATATCTACAGGTTGAATGATGCAAAACTGCTGCTAGTTTTATCATTTTGGCCTATAAAAATACCAGTTTCATATGATTCAACCAAATGTAAACCAAATAAATCCTTATGGGTTTCTTGATCAGTTCACAATGTTTTTGGTTGCAAGTGACAGAAAACTAAATTAACAATGACATAAACGATAGGGATCTATGTTCTCTTTCATAACAAGAAATCTAAAAGTAGGTAGTTGGCTCAGGAACCAAACAATGTTAGAGATCTGGATCGTTCTCTCTGGGATTCTCTTAACATGTCCTTTATGGTTGCCAGGTGGCACAGTTACTGGGAAAGCAGCAAGGGGGCGTGATGGTAAAAATAGGTGTGTGTCAGTTATTTCCAGTTGCATTCTGGGGAGCCCATGATTAATTTAAATAGTCAAAGATCTGTGCATGATGAGGTATCTATAGAGATTTGAGGATCACGACCACCCTGCTACAAATCCAAACTTTATGCTGGCCCATCAAATATTCCTGAAAGGCCCAATATCTTCTGACATAATGTGCAAGCAGTAATTTAAAGACTCCAGGGGACAGAGCTACTGTATTGGATTTATCAAGCGTATTCTACCCAGGCACAATGCCTCACAATAGGTTCTTAGTGTTGGGAAAGCAACCGGGAGTGATGGGGAATGCGGCCAAGTACATCCTGAACGGTGAAGGGAAAACGCGGCACTAGTTGATTGTTACTATATGAAAGTGTAGCCTAAGTATGGACAGAACTTTCAGTTTCTAACGAGAAGCTAGAAAACTAGATTTACGTGTGAACTTTACTGAATTGTAAATGTTGGCAAATAAGACACCAAACAAGTCTGTGGGCTGGATTTGGTCGATCACTAATAACGCCCAGAGCTCTCCTAGACCATAAACCACACTTGACAACCATGCTTCTCTCCCAGGGCCCCTGACCTTCCCGTAGTCACTCATCAGATGAGCTATGAGGGGACAGCATGCAGCAGGACGTAGCAGAAAGACTATGGGCTTGGGTGCCTCTGGCCTTGCCACTTACAATCTGCATTGCTTGGCAAAATGCTCAATTCTTTTGCATGTCAGCTCTACCATGGGCACAGTTATAGTGCCTTGCAGGGTTGCTGTCAGCATTTCATGAAGTAAGGTCGCTAAAGCACTCAGCACAGGGCCTACCACAGTAAGCCCTCAATGTTTATCATTATTATGACTTATTATGGTTTATTATTATTAATAAATCAGCTGGCCTCAGTGGATGAGAAAAGGATCTTCTTCGTGAGCTAATGTCAACTAATAAATGTAGAAGCAAAGACAGAGTTAGAAACTTACTGTTTTGTATCTCCTTATAAAATAACTAGTGGCCCAGTGTATGAATTCATGCACATTGAAAGGAAATCAATTAGAAGAAATATTTTAATATTGCTATTTGCCCTTTCTCTATAATAAAAGTGTCAACCAAATTCACAATCCACAATGACAGATGGAAACACATGCATGCGATTGGCGCCAGTGAGAGCTTTATATGTATTGCGCATGCATGAGTAACTTAGCCATATATATATTATATTTGGTATTATAAGTAATCTAGAGATGGTCTAAAGCAGTGGTTGGCAAACTGAGGCTCGCGAGCCACATGCGGCTCTTTGGCCCCTTGAGTGTGGCTCTCCCACAAAATACAGTGCGATTGAAACTTCGTGGCCCATGCACAGAAGTTGGTTTTCGGCCTGGGCGAGTCTATTTTGAAGAAGTGGCGTTAGAAGAAGTGGGGGTATGTTCGCTGAGGTAGACCCCTCAGATTGAGGATGTTTCTAGCAAAGGCCAGCTTAGGAGTACCTTAATTAAGTTAATAACAATGTACCTACCTATATAGTTTAAGTTTAAAAAATGTGGCTCTCAAAAGAAATTTTAATTGTTGTACTGTTGATATTTGGCTCTGTTGACTAATGAGTTTGCGGACCACTGGTCTAAAGTATATGGGAGAATGTACATAGGTTATATGCAAATACTACCTCATTTTATATACCCTTGAGCATCTGAGGATTTTGGTTTCCCAGGGGATCCTGGAACCAATCCCCCTCAGACATCAAGGGAGAACAAAGTATGATTCACATCCCCAAGGGATAAAGTGGGTGGCACCAGATTTCATTAAACTACTCAGAACTGTGGGCAATTTAAAACATGAATTTTTTCTGTAATTTTCCATTTATTACTTTCAGACCACAGTTGACTGTGGGTGTCTATAACCTTCCTCAGAAAGCTAAACTGCGGAGAAGGGGAACGACTGTGGTTGACAGAGGTCATAGAATATTAGGTGGTCATTAAAATTATAAGGATGATGGAATCATATTTCTATTACAATGATAATTAAAAATACTGGACTGTAAGAGTATGGACATTAGTGGAAGTTAAATCGCCGAATTTTAAATCTGGTTCAGCACAATGTGTATAAATGACTATTACTTTAAAATTATTCATTATTGTTATGTTCTTTCCAATATGGAACATTTATTTCCAATATAGAACATTTATTGCTCCAACTATATTTTGTGAACAAGAATTGGGGCCTATTCATGAACAATTTCTGTGTTAGAATTCCTAAAATATCTATGAGATTAAAGGTATTACTATTGTAATTGCTTGAAACAGTTAAGATGAAAATGAAAGTTCCAAAATTTGTATTTAGGAGAAAATTCAGACACTTTAGTAAAGAAAGTTACAGAAACAAGGAGATTTATATTTTACTTATTTAATAAAACCAGTTTTACAATGAGGTTTATATTTTTCTTATCTAATAAAACCACCCCCCCCCCCCGCTTTCCGGAAAATGGTCACTAAAAACTTACTAGATACTGTACACATCTGACTTGTGTGACCTCGACTCGACTTGATTCGAACACTGCAGACTTCCGATCTGCAGGCAGATGCGTGACCACTGCGCCAAGAGGCCCACAGAGTAAGGGGTTTTGACGGGCTTTGAGAACAGAAACAGTGTAAGCAACAAGGGGCGGAGTTTACACGAAAGCCACGCCCCTAAGATTTTGTCGGTTTGATTCTCGGAGCCGCGAGTGGGCTAGATGAGCGCGCATTTAGGAGTTAAACCTCCCCCGGACAAATTGTGCTTAAGCACATTTGGTTTAAGGCCCAATTCTTTAACTTTGAGACACACTGAGCTCACGCAATATAGAAGCGATTTTATATGTCTTTGAGATTTATTTCTGGGGATAAGAAAGCCATTACGGTGTCCCTGCGGTTCTGGCACCCTAGACGGACTTTAGACTTAATTCCGGCCTGCCAGTTACTGAAAGCTCCGTTATCTAGACTCCCTTTACGTAGGTCTATCGTCTGTAGACTGAGCATAACCAGTCTCTCCTGGGGTAAGGGGAGCGCACTAGCGGTGCAGGGGGCCGAGCCTCTCACACATACGTGCTCCGAAAACAACAGACATTACTTCTACTTTGGCTTCGTTCCTGTCGACCCTTGTCTGCACCCCAGTTCAGGTCCGCAATTATTTCGCACAGGCCACAACCGAACCGAGGTATCTAAGTCTTAGGGAACACGGAGGAGCAAGAAGAATCGCCGGCGTTGGTGGTATAGTGGTGAGCATAGCTGCCTTCCAAGCAGTTGACCCGGGTTCGATTCCCGGCCAACGCAGTGTTGTTTTAAACATTTTTTTCTCCCTACGTTCCTTGAATCTGGCCCCAGTGCCACACACAGACAGTTGCTTAAGGTCACCAACTCTCCGTGACCCCTTTTCATCGAGAGGACGAGCTGTCTCTAGGGTGGCTGGTGCAAAGGCATACGCTGCGAAGTTGGCCACCTCACCCGCTCCCAATTGATCACAGGAGAGATAATGCTGGTGCTGGAGGCAAGATGATTCAGTCTTCCCCTCCGCTATTCCGCTCTGGTCACCTCCGCACACACCCTCACACAGGCCACATGCGCCGCTCTCTCCAGCACCTTCGTCGCGGTCCAGTGTAAGGTGCGAGCATCTGGGGGCTGCAGCCATGCGCGCTTTCTCCTCCATGGAGTAGCACCAAGCGCAACTTGCTCCCAACAACCTCCAACCCCTGCGGCCACCGTACCAAGGACCGCCCCAGATCCTTCTGTATTTTTCCCCCTTTCTTTTTATCTCCACCCCAGGGCCCAGGATGGGTACTTCTTAAATAAATAGGATTTAAAACAGAATGATCGAAGAAATAAGAAAAGTTACTTCCTTCTCCCCGTCGGGGAATCGAACCCCGGTCTCCCGCGTGACAGGCGGGGATACTCACCACTATACTAACGAGGAAGAAGACAGAGGCCGGCGTCTCCAAAGCCTTGATCTGATTATTTCACCGAACTCAGCATGGTCAGGTGAGGCCCCTGGGGATTCTGTCCTTTCGATTGAGAAATACTGACCTGAAACCTATGCACATTCCAAACCACACTGAGCGCGAATCCCTAGAAAAGCAGAAATGTACAGAAGGGACCGACACAGAGGCCTCCAAGGCTGCAGAGACCTGAGATCTAAGTACGTGGGTTCTCGCAAAAACATCCCTGAATAGGTCGCACCCCTTTTTACCGTCATCCACAGACAAAGGTTGGCCGGCATCAATCAAGCCAAAAGCTGGCTCTCGCGGCCCTGGAGAGGTGCCAAGCAGGAAGGAGGGAGCAGATCCTAAGTGTTGCCCAGTCAAGCCCGGAAGTTCCTGCGCTCTTCCTAGCTCGTCAAGGACTTCATACCGAGAGCTGCTTCTTGCCACCGGGGTGCCCGCTTACAAAAGTGGTCTCTGCGCATCCGCTCCGCTCCAAAGCCACCTCAGCGGAATTCAAATATCAGATGCTTCGGAATGCTCTAGTCTCCGCAAAACTCAAGGTAGGGCTCGTCCGGGATTTGAACCCGGGACCTCTCGCACCCGAAGCGAGAATCATACCCCTAGACCAACGAGCCCACGCCAAGTATCAGCCGCAGACGTCTGTAGAAGTTGTATCAGGCTTGCTTCAATTCTGGGGCCACAAGTCCCGGTGGAACCGACCTGGCGTGCGCTCAGGACCCTTCCTCGGGACACTGAATACTCGGATACAAGGGTCTGGGTAACCCCCTCCGCTCCGGGTCCGCGAGCTCCGACTCTCCCCAGGAAATAACATAGGGGAAGTGGAAGAGAGGGGTTTCGGTCTCACTCCCGCGCAGCCCTCCAGGACTGCCCCGAGCACCCCACTTCCCGTTCCCACCAGTCACTCTCTCGCCGCAATTCCATAACTTGGAGTCTCGAGTTTTCCCGCTTCCGCCCGCCGTCCTCGGATCCAGAGCCCCCGCGCAGAACTTTGAAGACAAACGTGGAGCTGCCTGGTTGGGGACAATTAATGAGCCCCGAAATCCCTTGGTGAACACCAGTCCCTTATTCTGTCCCTGCATCTGTGTATCCGGGCCGGACCAGCCCCAAGCTAAACCCTTTGTCTAGTAACCCACTGTCTTCCCAGACCGTGTGGTAGTGGAATAATTCCTGGGGCCAAGAAGACCTATGGAAGAGGCATCATTGAGATGGCGGGGTGAGGTAGGGAAAATCGGCTTTCCAACCCGCATGAGTGGGCGGGGCGTCAGGCCTTGAGGACGGTCCCTGACTTCTAACACCCATACCAGCCTGGCCCCAGGGTTTCCCGCCTGTGAGATCAGGTCACTCCTACCCTCCCGTGCAGCCTCCACTCTCCAGTTCTCTCCTAGGGTGAACCAGAAGGAGACCCTCTTACCTGCTGCCTAACACCCCCAGAAGATAAGGGCCTGCTTGGTATGGCCCAAAGCCAGTAGACCCGGACGGACTGTTCAATACACTGGCTATGCTCTCACCTGGGGACTGCCAAGAGTTCTGGTAGCACCTGATGATTCAGCTGCAGGCCATGCGTTCTGCCTTCCCTCAGCTCAGTACCAGCTCTGGGGAGTATTCCCAGCAGGATTCAGTTTTTTGCGGCCCCCCCCCCCCGCCCCCGTGCTTTGGGCCAAGGGATGGCGTCCAGACCTTTCTGCCTATCTTCCAAGGAGGTTTAGGCCCTGCCAACGACCTACTTCTTGCCTCCTTCTCCACAGTGTTTACTTCTACCCTCACCAGCCTCGCTTTAGTGCTCCACAAATGGGCCCTGCCCTTCCTCAGGCTCTGGAGACTTTTCTCTACCCACCGTGTCCACAGGGTCCCAGCTCTTCAGCGACCTCTTGCAAGAAACCAGATAGTGCTAAGCCAGACCTCTGCTAACTCCTAACACAGAATGCCAGCTTGTGGAGAATGGACGTAACTATATGTGAAGGGCTTGGTACGGGAGCTGCACATAGAAGATGCACCCTCCCGCGGTGTTTGGAGGAGCCGGCCTGGCTAGCGCTCCTCCTCCCCCCAGTGCCGGGGGGGTGTAGCATCAGCTGAGCAAAGGAAGGTGTAGGAATTCACGGGACTGACAGCTCGACTCAAAAGGAAATCTGGATGCTGCGAGTGCGAAAATGTATAACCCTTGAGTCTTCGAAAATAAAAGCAATTGATGACTCCATTAGGAGACATGGATTCAGCGAAAAAACGGGACTGTCTTCAGACTTAGAGCCAAAGGCACCGCTGGGATTCGAACCCAGGATCTCCTGTTTACTAGACAGGCGCTTTAACCAACTAAGCCACGGCGCCGAAGTCACTCAGAGCTCCTCTGATACTACACTATAGGAAAATATTGTTTGGAGCCTGGCCACATCAATTTCAGACCTAACATTAATTTTGATTTATCAGCTAGGTTTGGCATCAAACATCCATCCATGGAATCTCCATAATGTTGAAAGATTTACGCCAAAAATGCGCTGTTGGGGAGCTTCCCAGAATCGAGGATTCATGTAATGGGAGGATTTCTGAAACTCGGACCGAAAGTTTGACTTTGGGAAACAGCAATGTGTATTTAGGCAGAAGAAATGAGGCAGGGGAAGAAAAAGTAACACGTAGTCGGCAGGATTCGAACCTGCGCGGGGAGACCCCAATGGATTTCTAGTCCATCGCCTTAACCACTCGGCCACGACTACACATGTGCAGCTGTCTCCTGTCGGAAACCTTTGTTAGTTCCTATGCCCAGCAAACATCACTATTTTATGGTTCCAGGACTAGGAGACCGGCGAGAGTGAACACCAGAGCAGGTTACAAATAAGGATCGACCCCTTTGCTCGCGGCTCCGCCTTTCTGGAATCCTTGTCCCAGACCCTCCCCTTTCTCCCACCCGCCTCCAACAACGCGCTCCCAGGGAAGAGAAGAGGCGGAAGCCTCCGGGGAACGCTCCCTGCGCCCTAGCTGAGGGAGCACCCTTCCAAAGGTTGAAGTGCGCTTACAATTCGAGTTTTGAAGAGCAGTGGGACCTGTGTTGCTTGCGGTCAGAAAGCAACTGGTTCTGGGAAAGAACTTCCTTGCAACAAAGTGAGAAGGGAGAAGGAAAAAAAAAAGAAAAATCAGTAAGCTGGCCCGTACGGGGATCGAACCCGCGACCTTGGCGTTATTAGCACCACGCTCTAACCAACTGAGCTAACCGGCCAGTAGTGTGAACCTGGAACCTTGAATCTACATACCTACAACTGTAAATAATGTAGCCAACATGATTAAACAAGGAACTTTTGTGCAGAACTAGCTTTGCTTTCTAAAAGCTTCCCAAATGCTGATTGGAAGTGATCTTTAAAAAACCATAAAGAAATGCCCTCTGAATGACTTTAACAGGTGTGGTCAGGTTCTTCTTCATTGAGTAAGCAGCTCCCAGGGAAGAAATGGGAGAATGCGGGCCGAATGTACGAGTACCCGCAACTAATTTGATCCTGCAACCCCTAAGTCTGGGTTCTGACTTAGGAATTCCTACTGGTTTCAAGGTGTGGTTCAAGAATTTGCCTTAGGCCTGACCCATGGGAAACCTACAGCACTGACCACTTCACTGAGGTTCCAGAGGATAGGTTCCTCACATGACTCTCCTAACGTTGGCGCTCCCTCGACTCCACCCTCTTATTCCCATTTGTACTTCCCAACAACTCCAGGCTTGCATACCTGACTTCTTCCAATCATGCTGACTGACACCATCAGAAATGTTGTCTAACTTGCCTCCAATTCCCCAATGTACTCCCCTTGGGTCTGACTTTTGGTATCATTTCTTCTGCTGGGCCAGAGCTCTTAAAACCAATTTTGACATTGGTGGAAAACAAGGACGGAAATGATGGTGAACAATGGGCAGCTGCCAGGTCAGGAGACCTGGGACCTCACAGACAGCACAAATGTAAAACATCACTAGAGCTTTATTGCAGGCCAAGGGGCCTGTCACAAGTACCCCCACAAGGGGCAAGTGTCTTGTTCCTCTAGCCCCTGCCACAAAGACAGAACCCAGGTGCTCAGGGCCAATGAGTGCAGGTGGCTTTAGCCCAACCAGAGAGGAAATATCAACAGTGCCATGAGTTGCCTATTTCCCCTATCTCCCCAAGGCAGGCTGGCACAAGAAAGAATATGGAGGAAAAATTACAGTAGGGTAGCAGTTAGTGAATACAGGGATCTGGAGTCCTAGTTCAATCACCAAGAAGGTAAGGGCCACAACGAGTGGGAGAAGCAGGGGCCCAGGCCTCAGTGCTCCAGCAGGGCAGGAAGACCTTTCAGGCCATTGTTGCAGTTCCGGTGCAGGAGGAAGCAAAGGCCCCCAGGGAGCTGGAGTGCTCAGGCTCCTGGATAGACAGACATGACAACTGGATCCTGGGATTCACATGAGTCAGAAGAGGGAGCTTCCCACACTGGAACTGCTGTAGCCTAGGAGGTTCTGAAACAAGAAGAGAGGAAAATGCATGTCCTAGGCATGCGGTTGTTACTCCCCGTCCACCATTCTCCTCCCCAACCTCAGAAATCCCCCATCAGTCCCTCATCGCTCTTCCTCCTGGGACCCATCTGTCTCCACCCCCACCCTCCCATCCTTACTTCCTTACCTAAAGGGATGATCTTGGAGGGTTTCCTCTCAAGCTCAAAAGAAAGTACAATAGGGCGGAGGACAGAGAGGCTGGTACAAAGTGTCCGGAGGAAGAGGGTCAAGGGCTCATCAGTCTTGGCTGAGGACTAGAAAGGGAAGCTCAGGATTAATCAGAACTCAAAATTCCTAAACTCTCTACCAAACCCTCAGGAACCTGGGTATCTGAGCCCCACCTCCCAGCCACACCTCACCTCAGGTTGGGCTCCAGGCCCTATAAACTGCAAGGCCACTTTCCCTGGCCCTCTGACAAGCTCGAGGAGGGAGGTCCACTCACTAGGACACAGCCCTAGTGCTGCTGCCACATGATGGTTCCGACAGGTCACCACAGCTTCAGCAGTCCCATCCTCCACCAGGAGCCTGGGGTAGAAATAGAAACTCCCAGAGCAAACCCAGGGCCAGTCACCTGAACCCAACATGCCTCCCTTCTCCACTGTGTCATCGTTAACTCACTTACCCTTATTCATTCAAAAATATTTATCAAAGCAATTCCCACAAGCCAAGAATTATGTTAACACAGAGACAGCACACAGGCAAAGCCATGTAATAGGGAAATAAATGGGGTGATAGGTGCCCACTTTGCACTCTCACCTGATGCTGGCCTGGCTTACAGACGTCTGAGTGGGGCAAGTGGAACCCTGATGAGTACACCTTCCCTGGGATGAGGAAAGTGGTTGGAAACATCCTCTTGGTCCCATCACATCCCTCTGCACCAAAGCACCCAGCCCAGCCTGCCCCTCCCATACCTGGATGGAGACACTGGTACAGTGAGCACACACCCAGCGGAGCTGAAGGCTGAAGACAGAAACGATATGGCAAGAGGCAACGGCCTGGAATGGGGCCTGGCCACCCTGCAGCAGTCTAGCCAGGTAGATGTGGGGCAGAGGAACACTAAAGGCGAGAGAGACGGGTGTCAAGAAACAGTCACAGGGGTTCTGAAGGCTGGTCTGTCTGGGAGCACTCAGCAGGCGTAGGGACGGAGGTAATAGTGGCGCCCATGCTCTCCTGGAAGCCACATGGTCCCCATTTTGATTTCTGATCTCAAATCGTCATCAATTATTTCTCAGGCTTGAACAACCAAGATGTCAGCCCAGAAAAGATAGTTGCATTTTAGCCTGAAAAGCCTTTAAGAGCTTAGAACACCAAATCTTTCTGGGTAAAATGACAGGTATTGGGCATTTTTATTTGGGACTCTGACTCAACACATTCTGCTAGGCTTGGAAATGATTGTAGTTATGGCAAAAATTCCAGAACCGGGAACATGTGTGGGATGCAGATGTGAGGTTGTGAAGTTTGGGGATCAGGACCTGGGGCACTGACCTGACTGTGGTTTCCGGGGGGAAGCTCAGGACCTGCATGTAAGTGGATGACTGGAAACAACAGTAAACATTGTGGGATCTGCAAGTGGAAGAGGAGGAGAAAGAAGTCAATTTGAGGCTGGAACGGGGAACAGGCGAGGCCACTCCCCTGAGGAATGCACCCTCGCCCAGGCTCTATTGAAGGAGGGAAGAATGAGGGAAGGACTGTCTGGATCATCTCGTGAGGGGAGAGGGCATAAATTCCAGAGGAACATATCGAACACAATATCGAAAAGGAGGTGTCGCTGGAGCATAGTTAGGTAGCGGTGAACATTCAAGAAAACCACATCAGTAGGGAGAGGAGGCAAAGCCAGCTACGTAGATCTTTACCTGGAAACTCTTTTCTCCAGCTGGTTAAAGTAGACCCGGGCTCCTGGAAGGAGTCCTAGTGGGGGAGGCAAGTGTGGGCCTTCGATATATATGTCCAAGTGCGGGCGGAATTCACAATCAGCAGTCTCCACAGCTACAGTTATCTTCACACACCCTCTCTTGGCTTCAGCGCTCCCTACGGAAGGAAAGGGGAGGGGCCAGTGGTATCTGTCTGGATCACAAGGTCCCATCACTCCATTTTATACCTTCCCCCAAATACCTGGTTTTGTCCAGATAGCAGCAGGGAGTGGCTCACACAGAGTCCGTGACAGGATCTCAGCTGAGAAAGACACCAAGGAATCGGTGAAGCTGAAGGGTCAAAAAAATATAGTGAGAATGGAGGCCTAAGAAAGCAGAGAATGGAGAGTCAGGTCCAAGGACAGAAAAAGTAGCCAGAGTCTCTGCTAGAAAGTCATCTATAAGGTTCTGAAAAATCTCATGCTGTGTTGAATCACACACTAAAAGTAACAGGGCTTGTGGTGGGCAATAAAAATAAAAGGGGGTGGTAATAGAAAATAAGGGTTGTGGCAGATAACTCAAAACCTATACAACTTTGTAACCAGAGGTCTTACCAAGAAGTACACCAGCAGAATTAAATCTCCGCTTCCATTTCAGCCAGTCCATTATCTACAGTTTACATGCTGGAGCTCATGCCCCCTCCTTCAAATCATAGATCCTTAAACACATTCTCTTTGGCCCTAACTGGTTTGGGTCAGTGGATAGAGCATCAGCCTGCAGACTGAAGGTTCCTGGGTTCAATTCTGATCAAGGGCACATGCCGGGTTGCAGGCTCTATCCCCAGTGGGGGGCTTGCAGGAGGCAGCCAATCAATGATTCTCTCTCATCATTGATGTTTCTCTCTCTCTCTCCCTCTTCCTTCCTCTCTAAAATCAATAAAAAGTATATTAAAGAAAAAAAATTCACTTCTAGTAGAGACCAGTTTCATAAAAATTGCACCTACAATTCAGTAGGGTTTTGTTCGTTTGTTTAATATAGGAGAAATATCTCTGCAGCTTCTTATTTTAATTTTATTTTTATTAATCCTTACCCAAGGATATTTTTCCATTGATTTAAAAAAATTTTTTTTTATTGATTTCAGAGAGGAAGGGAGAGAGAAAGAAAGAGAAACATCAACGATGAGAGAGAATCATTGATCAGCTGCCTCCTGCACGCCCCACACTGGAGATCGAGCCTGGAACCTGGGTATGTGCCCCAACAGGAAGTCAAATTGTGACCTCTTGGTCCAAAGGTTGACATTCAACCATTCAGCCATGCAGCCAGGTGGGCTCCATTGATTTTTAGACAGAGTGGAAGGAAGGGGGAGAGATGGGAGAGAGAGAAACATCAATGTGAGAGAGACACATCAATTGGTTGCCTCCTGCACACATCCTGCAACCAAGGTATGTACTCTTGACCGGAATCGAACCCGGGACCCATGGGCTGATAGTCTATCCACTGAGCCAAACTGGCTTGGGCTCTCTGCAGCTTCTTCATTTGCACTTGCAGCCACCCCGAAAAGCTTACATGAGGGAAGTATAGTTGTTCCTGAAGCCATAAGCCACTCCTTGTACTAAAGGAAGGCTCTTCTCTATAGATTCTCAGCGTTTGTCCTTACATTTTTTTTATTGTTTCTTACATTTCCTCTTCTTGCTAAGGCTTTTCCTGACTTGTGAGAAAGACTGCTCATGATCACTTCAAAACAGTAACATGCTGGGGGGAAATCAGGTATGAAACACAATTTCCATCTTACACCGACATCTTCCTGTAGGACAGCGGTTCTCAACCTGTGGGTCGCGACCCCTTTGGCGGTCGAATGACCCTTTCACAGGGGTCGCCTAAGACCATCCTGCATATCAGATATTTACATTACGATTCATAACAGTAGCAACATTACAGTTATGAAGTAGCAATGAAAATAATTTTATGGTTGGGTCACAACATGAGGAACTGTATTTAAAGGGCCAGAGGTTGAGAACCATTGCTCTAAATCACAGGAAAGAAACACGCTGTAGCAGAGAATGGACCATTCACCACATCTAACCACGGCAGAGGAGCAGAGAGCAGCCCAATGAGCTGGAGAAGCTGGCAGACATTTACTTGTCACTGAGCAGGTCGGTCAGCGAGGATTCAGGCAGTGCCTTGTTGGTACTCGGCACATCTGGGATGTCCCGGGAGCGCTCAAGTTCCAGGGTCCATGCATCCTGGACAGTGAGGCAGGAGGTACAGCCGGCCAACTCCAGAGGACGCTGCGATATGCAGGATGCACCGCCCTCCTCAAACAACGCTGGTGTCTGCCAGGAAATGGGAAGACAATGGACTCGAGTGTGCCCTGGTCCTGAGGAAGGTTCACAAAATACTATGACCCAATTTTGATTTCTCTCTGGAGCCTGATGAAGGAAGTGACTTAGAAATAGACAATCTTTCGATTTGATCGAGATCTACCTTTCTGCGAGGAGACCTAGAGAGTGACCAGGCACTGGCACTTCCTCTCCAGATCCCAGGCCAAAAAAGCTTTCTGGGGGAGGGTCTGATGACGTCGGGCACTCACGGGAGGGCCAGGAGCCACGAGTCGGTACACGTGCCCGGGGTGCAAGAACTCGAACCAGCGGACTGAGGGGCCAATGAAGATGAGGAGAACCTGTGAGGAAGGACAGCGGGGTCCTTGGGTTCCAGACAGGAGCCAGGGGCACACAGGTCAAGCCCTAGACCTCTGAAGTCCCAGCTCACCTTCTGATCCTTGTTCTCATCTCCCCTGTGCTCAGGTGGGCCCCAACCAGTTCCCTCCTTCCTCTGGGTACCCCCGAGCCAGCTCCCTGATATGTGGAAACTGAGGGTGGGCTTGGCCACCTCTGGACTGGCTCCTGGGGGGCCACAAAAGTTCCTCTTCATCAGCGCCTCCTTGTGGGACAGCAAGAACAGCCGGCTCTGTCCTGTAAGGGGACCCTCGGGGAGGGCGGGCTCTGGCTGAGGTGCTGAGGAAGAGGCTGAGTGAAGGAAAGGTCTGGGCATAGGCCAGATCAGGGCATCAGCCAGGAAGAACTGGACATAGACTCTGTTGGAGAAAGGAACAGGTTTCTTAGTGAGACAGGCATTGGGTGTTGTGGCCCCAGCATTCCAACCCCTGCTCCAGGCCCTTCCCCTTTCCCTTGGAGACTTGGAGGGTAGCCACTACCCCAGAAGCCAACCTGGCCCGCTGCTCCTGGATGAAGCCTTCCATGCCCAGCTCCTTCCAGGAAGGAAAGCTGCTCCTGACATTCCTCTCGATGACCAACTGGAACCGCTCTGCCCGCACCAAGCAGCCTAGAGGAAAGACGTTTTCTTTTTGGCAACAGAGAGAACCGTGGAGTGGGAAGCAAAGCAGACCATCCTGCCGGACTTGCTGCCCAATCTAGACCTGGCCTGACCCCACCTCAGAGGGGTGACGCTCCAAGGGAAACCATTCCCCCCGCATGTCGGCCCACCCTGGCCTCCGAGGCTGAAAGGCATCGATCTCCTTTCTCACAAATCCATACAACGCCTGCCTGTTCCCAGATCTAAGAAAACTTTGCTTTCCAGAATTTCCTTGTCTACAAATCTCAGTGGGTCCAATAAGACCGTTATTCCTCCAAACTAGGAAAGTGGGAAGTGGGAGCGGCCATCTGGTGTGCGCGCAAGTAGGGGTTGGAGGTCTGGCTAGGGAGCCCCTTGCTCCTTTTCTCTACTTGCTGACACCAGTCTCCCAAACTTCTCCCCAAACGCGATGAACGCCTGCCACGTCGGCATCTCTAGAAAATCCCAGCAGGTGCTTCCTCTCGAACCCCCTGTGCTGAGACCCTCTCCTCCACGACGACCCTCTCTCTACTTCTGGCCTCCAAACCTAGGAGCCGGGGGTCGGTGACGGGCTGCGAGTGCTCATTCAGGAGGAGGCAGGGGAGGGAACCACTTTGGTCCCGAAGCTGCAGACAACCTTTATGAGATGAAGCCACCAGAACCCCGAGTAAAACCTGCAGGGAGATGAAAGCCAAGGTGTCAAGTATTTATTAAGCACATATTGAGCATCTATTATGTGCGAGGTACTGTGTTAAAGGTTAGCTACAAAGTAAAAAAGACATGGTCTCTAACCTCAAGGAACTTCTATTTGAGGGGGGAAGAGAGATGTGAAAAACACACACGTGCGTTCACACACTTGGTGGTAGGAGAGAAAGTGTTCAAATCAAAGTTAGAGAACCTCAGCAGACACAAGAAGAAGTTTGGGCTTTATTTTACGTGCACTGGGAAAAACAACAAAAGGATTTAAAGCAAGAGAGTTTTGTCATCCAAGCTGCATTTTACCTCCCTCTTCCTAGTTGCTGCAGGGAGGGGTGGTCTAGTTAGAAGGCTAGTCAGTCAACATGATGAGAAATGACTACGACGGTGGTAGTGAGAATGGCAAAGAGAGGAAGTGCCCTGAGCCCTGCTGGAGCCCCACTTACCTGGGCTGGATGGAAGGTGGAGGGCAGCAGACAGAGCCAGGACCAGGCCAGGCGCTGATTGAGTTGGCAACTGGTCAGGTGAGAAACTTCTGGGACAGGCAGGAGGGTCTTAGGGTCAAAGGAAGCCCAGGCCTTGGACTGCCCTTCCTCTTTCAGGGCGGCCAGAGTGGGGAAGGAGCAAGGAGTTTGCAGCCGAGTGTACTGTCAGGAGAGAAGAAAAATCAGATTGGGCATCCCAGGTACGCCCCCGCCACCCCGTTTCCCCCACATCCTCACACCTTCTGGAGTGGACAGCAATGTGGCTCTTCAAGGATCTCCCTGTGTGCGTTCCGACTGGGGCTGCCCGGGGGAGCCAGAACGTCCAGGGCAGGAGCCAGGAGCTGCAGTCCCAGGCTGGGGCTCCCGGAACAGGAGCACTGCAGGAACTGGTGGTGTCGCAGCACGTGGGGGCACAGCCTTGGGAAAGGAGCGGAGTCACTTTCCCCAAGACCCTTCCTCTCCCAGGATCCTGCTTCCCTTAGAGGTGGTGCCCTACCCCCCGTGCCACCCCAGCCCAAACCCTCATCCTCCTCACTTGCAGGCCAGCTCCTCCAGGGCCTTGGTAGCCCACAGGTAGAGGGGAAGCCCTAACTGACGCTCCCATACCAGCTGCTCATACAGGGAGGCCCCCCAGGCTTGGAGGGAAGACTGAGTCTCAGGCTTCTGACGAGAGAAGCCCCGAAGGAGAACAGCACCGCGGAGACAAGCGGCTAGCACTGGCCTTCTTGTCCCTCCACCCACTGACTGGAGGAGGTGAACATCCTGGAGCTGGGGGAGAGCAGAAAGGGTGAAGAAGCAGAGGTGAAGGTCACTTAGTGACCCCACGCAGAGCTGACTGCAGTTGTCCACTGCCTGGGTTCCCATTTCTCCCACACCGGTCATTTCCTCTCACCCTCCACGCCTCACCTTCCATCACAACCCACCGTCCCTGGGTAAGCCTTCATCTCTCATCAGCTCCACTCAGTCCTTCTGTGGGCCGGGGGGCTCCCGGCTGGCATGGCTTCCCGACTCAGCAGGCTGCCTGACCTCATTCTGGCCCTCGCTACACCTGCGCTTCAGCTCCCACATCTCCTCCTCCAGTTAGATGCCCTTCTGTGAAGGAGATGCTCTGGTCCCAAGCCCTCCTCCTTTTGCCCCAGCCTCTACCGTCTGATCTGAGCGCTCATCCAAATCATTCTTTTTTTAAAAAAATATATTTTATTGATTTTTTTACAGAGAGGAAGGGAGAGGGATAGAGAGTTAGAAACATCGATGAGAGAGAAACATTGACCAGCTGCCTCCTGCACACCCCCTACTGGGGATGTGCCCGAAACCAAGGTACATGCCCTTGACCGGAATCGAACCTGGGACCTTTCAGTCCGCAGGTCGACGCTCTATCCACTGAGCCAAACCAGTTAGGGCCCAAATCATTCTTAACAAACGCACATGCCCACCCCCCAATGCACACTTATTGTTTTTATATTTTTGTTGTAAAGGTCCTCACCTGCTGCCAGAAAAGACCAGCCTAGAAGGTAGAAGAAGCTGCTGGGGAGCCTCTTTGGTCAGCAGCCCCGATCCCTCACGTACCTCCAGACAGACTCCTGGTCGCACCACCCGCCTGAGGCCATGGAACGGCTGGTAGGAAAGGCAGAGCCCCAGCTGCCCATCCAGCTCATAGAGGCCGGCGGGCTGATTCAGCACGCCGGTGACCGTGCCCTGCGAAGAGGCCAAAGGGCCCGTTGATCCCCATCTCCTTCCTCTCTGGAGACCCAGTTTCCTGCCCCTCAGGCTCTAGGACCTCTCCCTCATGCTCACCGTGTATGACAGGAGCCTGGAGTCCCGGGCAAGACCCTTTTGCTCCTGCCTGTCTTGGATGTTGCTTGTCCCGGGGAGTGGCTTGGGGTCAGCCTCCAAGAGAGTTCTGCCCAACTCCAGGTCCAGGTCCAGCTCTCGCACGCATTCTGGTTTCAGCGGCAACAGATGAGAGGAGGGGTTGGTGGTCCAAACACGGTAACGGTGACCATGAATCTTGGATGCGCGCAGCTCTGTCAGCACATAGGCCCTGCCAGGCCAAAGGGCTCGGTGCCAAACCAGCTGGGCGGGGACCTGGCTTGTGCAGAGGCAGGCAACATGGGACACGAGATGCTTCTCACAAGCTATCCTTCTGTCCCTTTCCATCAAAATTTAACCTCAAAGACCTGCCCTCAGGAGCTTTCCTTGCCTCATCTTCCTTGTTTGCCAATTAAATCTTAAGCCATAGAACTTTTAGGATCTCTTTTCTCTCTTAGGAGATGCCAAATCCCTCCCCCAAGATACAAACCATCCCTAAAACTTCCTTCCAAATACATAAATATTCCATTCAGAAACTTATATCCTTTTTGCATTTCCCCTCTCTCACCCTATAACGTATAAACAATTTCTATTTATTTAGTCAATACGCACTGGGTACGTATGTATCCAGTATTAGGATAGATGTTATGGGAAATATAATAGACTGTTCCCTCTTCTCCAACATATTTCAAACCACAGACACAAACCCAAGTAATAATATGGAGCCATGTATGATCAAGAGGCACAAAGAATACACATTTACTAAGGATGGGTTGGAATGATTAGAAAGGCCAAGTGAAAGAAGAGGAACTTGAAGGACATCTTGAAGTGGAGAGAGAGAGAAAAATAATTCAATAAGAGGCAACATCATAGAAATGTTCAGAACTTAGAACAAGCTATGCAATGAAAACACTGGCCAGGATGAAAAAGGAATGTTCTTGGCAGTTGCATAGAAAAATGAGAAATATCAAAGTAGGAAAATACTAGTAAAAGTAAACAGCTTGAATTGGCTCTACTCCTCACCTGCACAATGATGGACACATGGCTGCCAGCCTGGCAGCTGGGGATAATTCACCAAGAGACGCAATGAAGTAAGCTTTCTTTTTACTTTTCACCAGAGCACTCAATCGAACCAGCTTCCCAGCCAGGTTTGGCTGTATAACTCTGAGCTTGCTTCTAAAGAAGGGAGAAAGAAGTCATTATTTCTCTTCTTTTCCCCTGCAAATTCCTCCCCTTCCCTGTAAAGAATAATCCAATTATGATTAAAAATTTCCATTTTCCCATGGGTATTCCAAAGAGGCCATATTATTCCCTTTATTTGCAGCATCTCATCAATATTACTCTCAATACCTTTCTCTCCTTCTTTCCACTGACTCACCATCCTCCTCCCGGTTTCATAGTGCTCCCTCCTCCCCTGGAGAGCGAAGAATTACCTGTGCCTGAGGAGGCGGGAAGCAGCCTCCGGGTAGAGAACAGGAATAGGGGTCGGAGGGCCAGGACTGATGGTCAGGGGAACCACTGGCACAGGGACACCCCAGAGCTCCAGGTGCCCTTCTCCTGAGGCATTCCACTTGGCAGGAGGAAGGTAACTCCAACTGGGGAACAGAAAGAGATGGCCCAGCCAAGAAAGGTCCAGATCTATGAGCTAGGAAAGACCAACATCAGGGGTTAATCAGCATCCCTTTACCTGCCTCCACCTTTGTTCCCCAACACTTAATTGCCTCACTCCCTAGACACCATTCTTGTTAGGATCTGAGGCAGCTGACATCCCCCTTCCTACTCACCTCACAGCCCAGGATACCAGTGTTATCTTTCACATAGAGGCTTCCATTTCTGCACTCCTGTTCCAAGTCCTCCAGTAAGTCTGTTAGTGTCCCCAAAAGTAACAGCCGCTCTCGGGGGAGGGCGGTCCCACTGAGTCCAGCCTCCTGGGCCCAGGCCTGATAGGCAGTACTGCTCCAGGACAGGTGGCTGCAGCAGGGAAGGTGCTGGTGGCTCCTGAGGTCCTGCACTGAGACAAAGCTGCAGAAGGAAGGGAGCAAAGTTGTGTCCAAACCTAGGAAGTTACACTCAACCCCGACAAATCTCCCCATATCCCAAGGAAAGGTCAATCGGGAAAATGGACTAAGGGAAAAGTTCAATTGATTGAAGGGGGAAAAGATGAAGGGAGAGAGGGAGGGAGATTGCTTAAGGAGAAGGGATAGGGGAGAACTGGATCAGGATAGAGCACTTAGGGGACTTCACTCAATTTGTAACATTTTTACTTCTTATAAAAAAGAACTGAATCAAATATGGCAAATTTTAAGGTTTTAAAAATTGAGCCTTAAGTACCTGGCTAACCACAATGTCAATAAGCTCACTGTTTAGTTCAGCTCTTTTTTGCAGGCAACACTTTCTCAATGAAGACAGTAGGGTGCTGATTTACATTCTGGTGGACCTGCAATGTTAGTTACCACTGGTTTATTTATTTGATTTGTGATCCTTCTTGTCTTTATTCTGAAGCTAACCAGCTGAAGTATATATTTTCCTTTTCTGTGTAGTTATGAATAACATTTTTTATTGATTTGAGAGAGGAAGGGAGAGAGAAAAAAAAATCAATTTGTTATTCCATTTATTGGTTGCTTCTTCTTTGGTGAGCCCTAACCAAAGATCGAACCTGCAACCTTGGCATATTGGGATGATGCTAACCAACTGAGCCACTCGGTCAGGGCTATGAATAACATTATATTTTTATTTTTTAAATATATTTTTATTGATTTCACAGAGGAAAGGAGAGGAAGAGAGGGATAGAAACATCAATGATGAGAATCATCGATCAGCTGCCTCCTGCACGCCCCCTACTGGGGATCGAGCCTGCAACCCAGGCATGTGTCCTTGACTGGAATCGAACCCAGGACCCTTTAGTCCACAGGCCAACACTCCATCCACTAAGCCAAACCACTAGGGCTGAATAACATTTTAATACAGATATTTCTCTTAGTATTCCAGTTTAGAAAATTTCCCCCCATCCTTGTTGATGTTAATATTTTTAAATTACATTTATTGGGGTAACATAAAATTTTCAGGTGTACAAAATTATAAGTCAAGATCTGTGTACTCTTATGAAGGACTTTCCACACGAAGTCTAATTTCCTTCCAATACCATATATGTGACCCCTTTACCCATTTCACCCTCACCGCACCCTGTTCTCCTCTGGTAATTACCATTCTGTTGTCTTTGAGTTTTTATTTGTTACTTTTTGTTTTATATTCCACATGAGTGAAATCATCAGTTTTTGTCCTTTTCTGTCTGACTTATTTCACTTAGCATAATACTTTCAAGATCTATTCATGTTATTGCAAATGGCAATATTTCATCTTTTTTATGGCTGAATTGTATTCCACTGTGTATGTATGTATATGTACCATATCTTCTTTATCTAATCATCCATCAGTGGACACTTAGGTTGCTTCCATGTCTTTTTTTTTTTTTTAGTTTTTCAGATGTTCCAAATACTTAGAAGGTTATGATCATTTTATTTATTTATTTATGTTTAATATTTTTAAAAATATATTTTTATTGATTTTTTACAGAGAGGAAGAGAGAGGGATAGAGAGTTAGAAACATCGATGAGAGAGAAACATCGATCAGCTGCTTCCTGCACACCTCCTACTGGGGATGTGCCTGCAACCAAGGTACATGCCTTTGACCGGAATTGAACCTGGGACCTTTCAGTCCGCAGGATGACGCTCTATCCATTGAGCCAAAGCGGTTAGGGCTATTTTTAATATTTTTATTGATTTCAGAGAGGAAGGGAGAGAGAGATAGAAACATCAATGATGAGAGAAAATCATTGATTGGCTGCCTCCTGCATGCCCCCAACTGGGGATGGAGCCCCCAACCTGGGCATGTGCCCTTGAACAGAATCTAACCCAGGACCCTTCAGTTCACAACTCTATCCACTGAGCGAAACTGGCTAGGGCATTTCCATGACTTAATTATTGTAAATAATGCTGCAATGAACATAGGGTAAATATATCTTTATATATAAGTGTTTTCATATTTTTCAGGTAAATACTCAGAAGAGGAATTGCTGGATCATATGGGAGTTCTACTCTAGTTTTTTGAGAAATCACTATAGTGTTTCCATAGTGGCTGCACTAATTTACATTCCCACCAATAGTGTACAAGGGTTCCCTTTTCTCCATATCTTCTCCAACACTTGTTATTTTCCATTGGTGTATAATGAAGTCCATGGATGAGAAATTACACAGAATTTTGAAAATGGTATCTTAGATAACACGGAGTACAATTACACTGTCTCCTCACCTAAGATCCCCTGCCTTCACTATTGAGACAGATTGCCAAGCTGATTGAAGTGTTTCCCAAACTATATGCAGGTTAAGGGAGTGTCAGGGAAAACATATCCTGCTCTCAGATAAGTTTGGTAAATGACAAATTAAACAAAGCTGAACAGGTTTCTACCTTTTTTATTTTTTAAAAGCTAAATATACAGTGATATGTATACTCACATAATACCATAAAAGTAGCTAAAATAAATGAGTTAGAGCTATCAATCTGAATAAATCTCAGAAGCATAATGTCAAGTACAAAAAGCAAATTGCAAAAGATATATATATATATATATATATATATACAATTTATATAAAGTCTAAAGGTATGCAAAACTCTATTGTATATTGATTAGGGATAACTGCATATATAGTAAATATATAAAAATATTCACATGAATAATATACTTTATTTTCAAAATAGTATATACTTCTATGAGGTTTCTTTTTGCAGGATATTTCAGAGCCTTCAATATGTTAATGAGTCTTATGACTCTCTTAGAATAGTTTATCATAGCCAATGTCTCTCAAGTTTATTTAGCCATGGAGCCCTTTTCTTGTGTTATTTTATTGATATTGCCTAGAACAGTTTAGGAAATGGTACTAAGCAAAACAATAACAACAAAATACCTTCAGGAGACCTTACACTTAGTTCTTAAACATAACTATCTGCACTTGGTGAATCTTAGTTTCCTAACAAACAGAATGAAATAGTATCAGCTTTCCTCCCCACTTTGAGAGTTCTTTCTCCAAACCTCCTTTCAGTCTTCTCCTCGACCTCTCCCTTCCTTTTCTTCTCTAAAGTTAACTTACGCCTGCTTTGGAGAACTATGGGAAAAGCAAAGCAGCTTGATGAAGAATGGAAATGTTTGGCAGAAGGGGGTGTGTTTACTCCTTTCCCTCCCCTTACCAAGTTTCCCCTCACTTTTCTCTGGTCCTTCCTTTTCAACTCCAAATCGAACTTCCCCCTGAACCCCAACTTTCCTTACCTGTAGCTGAGGGGCAGTGTAAAACCCTGGTGCCTTCCCTGGGACAACCAGGTCGTCTTCACACAGTCAATTACCAACTGAGTGAACTGGACAGTAGGCTCCTTGCCAGTTGGACACAGGGTCTCTTGGATGAAGGCCTGGGCAGCCTCAAGCCAGGTTTTCTCCTGAGAAAAGTGAATCTAGTTAAAACAACTTCATGACAATCCTGCCCACCAAGAAATTTGGGGAAGAATAAAGGAACAGAAAAAAAAAATCAAGAGGGCATGTAAATGAAGAGGAAATGTAAAGGAGTTGAGAGCTTAAAGAAACCTTAGAAGTGTTTTAGTCCAGCTATACACTCAACTCAGACAGCTGGCCATCCAGCTCTGGTCTTGCATCTTTCTCTAACAAACCTGCACCAATCCTTAAAGTGCTCAACTGGAACCTATATTCCTCTGTGAACCGTCCCAGGTAGAATGCTGCTCCCTCCTTGGGGCTCCCACAGCATCTTACACATACCTCTATTAAGAGCAATGATCAATAAAGATAGTGGGTCCCATTTTATATAGAGTCTAGCTATAAAGCCAGCAGGTTGAAAAAAAGATTGTTCAAAATCACCCTTGAAAATAATCCTTTAAATTGCTCATGAAGAATAGGACATAGGTCCTAGCCTGTTTTGCTCAGTGGATAGAGTATCAGGCCTCGGACTGAAGGGTCCTGGGTTTGATTCAGGTCAAGGGCACGTAACCGGGTGCATGCAAGAGGCAAACAATCGATGACTCTCTCTCACTTCTATGCTTCTTGCTCTCTGTCTCTCCCTCTCCTTCTCCCCTTCCACTCCCTCTAAAATATCAATGGAAAAATATCCTCAGGTGAGGAGTACCAAAAAAAAAAAAAAATAGGACATAGTACTTTATAGTAATATAAATGAAAATGTGCCTAATAATGAACAGTACATAAAAAAGGACATGAGTACAATTTTTTATTATTCCATTGTTTAGTCATCTATACATTTGAGTTCCCATAAACTAAATACATATATAATACAACCCCATTGCATTTGTTTCTTGTACTATCTTTTCATCTAAGATGTGGGCTTCCTAAGGAGGACATGAACTATTTTTATATACTTGTCACAGATTCTGAACACAGTTCTCTCTATATGTAGATAATTTTAGGGCATGGGTCCAGCTTGGCCTATTCCCAGTACTAGGCCTGGTGCATGAAAATTCGTGCATTCGGGGGCGGGGAGGGTCCCTCAGCCCGGCCTGCACCCTCTCGCAGTCCAGGAGCCCTCGGGGGATGTCCACCTGCCAGCTTAGGCCCGCTCCCCGGGGGGATTGCTCCCCAGGGGATGGGGCCTAAGCTGGCAGTCAGACATCCCTCTGGCAGCCTGGAAGCCCTCAGGGGATGTACAACTGATGGCTTAGGCCTGCTGCAGCTGCGCTGGCCAGCCATGAGCCCGCTTCTGAGCGGAGCTCCCCGTGGAAGAGCACTGACCACCAGGAGGCAGCTCCTGTGTTGAGTGTCTGCCCTCTGGTGGTCAGTACATGTCATAACAACCAGTCATTCCCAGTGGTTCCCAGTATTCCGCCCTTAGGGTCACTTTGCATATTACCCTTTTATTATATAGGATAGGATTCCGACAGAGTTCAACAATACTTACGGGAAGGACCTTCATCCTTTTTGGTCCTTAGTGATAATTCTAAACCATTACAGTTCTATCCCTGTCCCTCAATGCTCCTTGATTAGCTTTCTGGCCAAACCTCCAGGTTCAGTTCATCTTTAGCAAAAACCAGTCTTCAAGTTCTAGATGACGTCAGTGTCCAGTGATGGTGAACCTATGACACGCGTGTCAGAGGTGACACGCAAACTCATTTTTTTGGTTGATTTTTCTTTGTTAAATGGCATTTAAATATATAAAATAAATATCAAAAATATGTCTTTGTTTTACTATGGTTGCAAATATCAAAAAATTTCTAGCCCTAACTGGTTTGGCTCAGTGGACAGAGCGTCAGCCTGCAGACCGAAAAGTCCCAGGTTCGATTCCGGTGAAGGGCATGTACCTTGGTTGTGGGCACATCCCCAGTAGGAGGTGTGCAGGAAACAGCTGATCGATGTTTCTCTCTCATTGATGTTTCTAACTCTCTGTCCCTCTCCCTTCCTCTCTGTAAAAAACCAATAAAATATATTTTTTAAAAAATTTCTATATGTGACACGGCACCAGAGTTAAGTTAGGGTTTTTCAAAATGCTGACACGCCGAGCTCAAAAGGTTCGCCATCACTGTCAGTGTCCTTGTGGACAGCCCTCCTATTGACGTTCACCTTCACTCCACCTCAGCCACTCTCATGCATGGTCAGGGCTGGGAAACGGAACCAGGTCTTCATTCAGAACTCCCCATCAACGTAATCAAAGCCCAGACTCTCAGACTTTTTGCGTCTTCCTCTCTTGGTTGCTTTTTGTAAGCCCCTGTTTCTCTGAAAGCCTGTCCATTGCTTGGCACATTGAACACTACGGTTTCTCTCAAAGTGGTACCTCAGAGTCATCAGTTTCATTAACAATGCAGGTGATTTGTAGATGACCTCATCTACTGAGTCAGAATGGGAGGGGGCAGTATTTTAAATAAGCTCCCCAGATTGATAGTGATATAGGCTGAAGTTTGACAACACTGGATATTTTCCTCTCAATGACTTCACCCACCGGATGCCATGCTGATGGTTCCTTAAACCTCTACTTTAGCTCTAGTTCTAAACATGCGCCTAGCAGACTCTCCACCTGGCCAACCGGCAGGCACCACAGCTGCTCACCGCTGAACTTTTCACAACATCCACTCCTCTTCCAGTGCTCACTAACCCTGCAAATAGCACCCCCACGCACACAGTTCGACCCTGCAACCCGGATGTCCTCCTCCCCCTTCCCTTTTCACTCTGCCTTCACCTCTGGTCCCTCGACATCAGTGCCTCGGCCAGGATCACCGTCCTCTCTGGTTGCCTGGCAACCACAGCCTTCTAACTGGTACTCTCTAGTCCACTGTCCACGCTGCCACCTCAGGATGTGAAAACACGAATCTCATCCAATCCTTTTTCTTCTTAAAACCCTCAGTAACTCCCAACTGGCCTCAGGTTCGAGTCGCTGGTTAGCAAGACTCACAAGCCTGTCAGCTCTGATTCCTCCATCACCACGCAACTGAACGTCTTGTTTTTCAAGGACACCTTCTCTACCTCTTGCCTTTAACCATGTTTTTGCCTCCGCCTTGAACCCTCCTTCAGTGATTTCTTTTTTGCTTCGCGAACTCTTTACACGCACTTTGGGTCTCAAAAGCTTTTCCTGATGATCAGTTACTGCCGCGGCAGGGGTCTCCCCCAAGACACCCACAGTGCACAGTTCGCCACCAGTCTGCTCCTGGGCTGGAAGTCTAGAGAGTGGACCGACACGTGTTTAGGGATCACAGCGGCGCCACAGGCGTGAAGGAATAAATAAATATATTCCCAGAACCAGTGAGAGGGGTAGGACAGGCAGCCTCACAGGTTCCCCCTCGCTGGGCACGGCCAGCGGAGCCAGGGAGGCAAAGAGGCAAGGTGGGGGCAACAGGAAGAGAAAGAAAACCCAGGACAGACAAGAAAAAAAGGACGTGGGTAGGGGAACAGCACTCACGGAGCCAACAGCCTGAGCGCGGCGAGCCGCCATGATACGCCCCAGGCGTTGCTCCGAGAGCTGAGCCAACCGGCGTCGGCGCGAGTGCTCACGGGAGAGCCGGCTCGTGACGTCATCGGCGGGCGCGTTCTCCGCTGCACCTTCGGCTCCTCCCCCACCCAGCGACCGAGTGCCACGCCCACCCACGCCACGCCCACCCACGCCACGCCCGCCTCTGCCCCGCCCTCGGGCGCCGGATCTCCCGCCGTTTCATCCCGTCTGGCTTCCCCGGGTCGGGTAGGGGAGCTCGGGGCCTGAAACGCAGCCGCCTGGGCGGTAACTCTTAGCGTCTTTAGGTTTCCCTGGTCTTTGTACCAAGCAGAGAGAAGTGTTTCCTCCTTAATGCAGCCAGAGTACAGCAAAACCTCGCCGTAACGGACTACTTCGGGGAGGGGGGGGAGGTCCCTTAAAGTCCAGTGTCAGTTATATAATAAAGTTGGTTTTCTGAATGCGTATGTTAACTAAATTAGCTAGTTACCTGTTTTTACTTACGTTGACACATTTGTGTAATTAAAATTAAGTCTGGCCGAAACCGGTTTGGCTCAGTGGATAGAGCGTCGGCCTGCGGACTGAGGGGTCCCAGGTTCGATTCCAGTCAAGGGCGTGTGCCTGGGTTGCGGGCACATCCCCAGTGGGAAATGTGCAGGAGGCAGCTGATCGATGTTTCTAACTCTCTCTATCTCTCTCCCTTCCTCTCTGTAAAAAATCAATAAAATATATTTTTAAAAAATTAAGTCTGAAAAAATTGTATGAAAAGTTTAATTTCGCAGAAAAAAATTTCTATATGTATTACTGTAATTTTAAATGTATACTAAATAGATCTAGTGAATGCGAGCATTCACTCTTCACTGAGAGTAAACAAATGCACATGGTTGGGGCGTGGCTTAACTACTTGGGAACAAGGACCGACAGGCCACAGCGGTTACAACTGCTGCCAGAGCCCAGCTGGGGCGGATTGGTGGTTGAGCGTGGATCCCTGAACCAAGAGTTCACTGGTTCAATTCCCAGTCAGGGCACAAGTCTGGGTTGCGGGCTTCATCCCCAGTGGGGATGTGCAGGAGGCAGCTGATCAATGCTCCTCTCTCATCAATGTTTCTATCTCTCTAGCCCTCTCCCTTCCTCTCTAAAATCAATAAAATAAATAAAAACTGCTGCAGAAAGTCATCTCAGGTGACAGCAGAACCAGTCACTGTGCCTGATGTGCTATGTTCACATGCTAATCATTCCTGAACATTGTTTAGAAGCAGCGAGTTTTGGATTTAAATATGTAGACTATACTTGTAGACTTGTAATATTTATTTATGTCGGTGAAATTACCAGTGTTTTTTCCAGCACATGGCCTATTGCTAAAATTTGTTTAAAATAGCCCAGCTGGGGTGGCTCAGTGGTTGAGGGTGGACCTATGCACCAGGAGTTCTGGTTGGATTTCCGGTCAGGGCACATCCCTGGATTTCGGGCTCCGTCCCCAGTAGGGAGTGTGCAGGAGGCAGCTGATAGATGATTCTCCCTCATCATTGATATTTCTACCTCTCTCCCCCTCTTCTTTCCTCTCTGAAATCAATTTTTAAAAAAGAGGTAAAGCGAGAGAGGGGCATTTAAGGCCATTGTGCACTTATAGTTGCTTCAAAACATTTTTGGGACAGGATAGAATAAACATTGATTATGAGATAGTAAGTATAAACACTGTAGACAATACAAATCCTCTAGTCATGTAACAGGAAAATAAAGACTGTAACTCTACAAATTATGGTGTCCCTTAATTCAACTTCACTTTTGATGGAAGGCCTCTGTCAAACGTACTCAAAAAGTCAGGAGGCTTTGTCTATAAATAAATGACAAAGATTTATTCAAGGACCTCAGTGTTTGCACACTGTAAACACAATTAGGCAAAAACTTAGAAGTGTTCCAAAGAAGAAAAAAAAAGGTTAAGAGTTTTTACAGTAAAAAGAACATGCCTGAGAATTATCCGTTTGGCATTTTAAACCCTAGGGTTGTCAGGATGGTTATCAGTCAGATGTCAGGTGGTCTGGAAGATGGGTGCCAGGAGGTCTGGTCATGTCCAGAGGTCTAGAGAACGGATGTTAGCTGGTCTGGATATGTGAGTCCTTCAGTGGGGTCGTCAGAGGGTTACCTGGAGGTCTGGTGTGTGTCCAGATATATCCAGGCATTGACACAGGACTAGAAAGTTCAAAGGGTTCACAGGCTAGTTAGAACAAGAATAGAATCTTTCCTCATGCCTCAAACGTCATAATGTTAATAATTTTAGCAGCTTGGTTAAAGTGACTCATTTTATGTATTTCCCATCTTCACTCTTTTTCATTTCTACTGCTACTGCATGAACTAGTTATGCACTCTGATGTCAAGTTCTTTATAAAGTGAATCTTTGTTTGCAATTATGTTCCATCATTATGTCAGGTTTGTGTTCTTTGCCTTTCCTCCAGAACAACAACAACCCGCCCCCCCCCCGCTGAAAGCTCTTCTAAGTCCACTCTTGCTGCACTGACCCTCTTGTTAGAACATTAGTCAAAGCCTACTTAAACTCCCAAACTAAATTATTCCTTTTGCTTTTAGCATTTCTCAACTTTGGAAGACTCCCCTTCTTGTTAAATCCATGAAGATGTGCCCTATGTCCTGGGATTTACTTTTGGTAGTTTATAGAAGATGGAGTTCAGTTTATGGTAGGCTATAGTGATCAGAGAGAGTGGTACTAGACACCTCCATTGGTGTGGTTTAAATGTCAGGTTAGGAGCTTAATCTGGTGGCAGCATGCAGGACCAAATGGGAGGGGCACAAGAGAACAGGAGGCTGCCGAATAAATAAGGCTTGATTTAATAAGTGTCTTAAAGGAAAGTGGTGGTGGGAAGGTGTTAGGGAAGCATGGAGAAGACGAGTTAGTTTGTCACAGAGGGAGGGAAGTGGGAGGATTGGGAACTGTCTCAGACCTGGTGATTTTTTAACAGGCTATGCTTGTCCAAAGGACAGCTGGAGATACGGGACCAAAGTCAGAGGAAGGATCAGGGCCAAATGAATGAATCTGGAAGTCACTATACGGAAGCGAAAGCTGAAATGGCATGGTGCACCGGGAGTGCTAAAATGTGGAGGAGTCAGAACCAGACAGACAGAGGGCTGAGCAAACTAGGGCCTCCGAAGGAGCTGGAAGGCAGGTAAGAGATGGAGTCAGGAAGTACCTGGAGTGAAAGAAACCCAGGAGTGAGCAGATGCCAAGGATCAACATGTGGCCTCTGTCAGAGGGAGCCAGAGAGTACTATTTCAACAGCCTGGAATCTTACACACCAAACAGGTAATAACTCACACCAGCAGCAGAGCTGGAATTAGGGGGAGGCACCTACAAGTTATTAAATTTTGCACCCAAGGTGCCTCACTTGCCTTACTCTAGTCTTGGCCCTGTCCTGGAGAGAGGACTGAAATGGGATGGAGAGATGAGGATAAAGACTTTCACTTTTCCTCTGAACATTTCTGTGTGCTTGACTCATTAAAAAGACCATTGGGCCCCTGCCTGGTTTGGTTAGGGAATAAGAGCTTCGCCCCGCGAACTAAGGGGTCCCCAGTTTTCGATTCCAGTCCAGGGGCATGTCCTTTGGTTGGGGGCACATCCCCGGGGGGGGGGGGGCGTTTGTGCAGGAGGTGGCTGATCGATGTTTCTCTCTCATTGATGTTTCTAACTCTCTATCCCTCTCCCTTCCTCTCTGTAAAAAATAAATAAAATATATTTAAAAAAACAAAAACAAGCGGAAAACAAGCGGATTCTTATGGGTCATATCCACAAGCTGAAGGCAGACAAGACTCGCAAGAAGCTTCTGGCTGACCAGGCTGAGGCCCGCAGGTCTAAGACCAAGGAAGCTCGCAAGCGCCGTGAAGAGCAGATCCAGGCAAGAAGGAGGAAATCACCAACACTCTGTCCAAGGAGGAAGAGACCAAGAAATAAAGCTCCACCTCTTACCTGTATATACTGGCCTTGGCAATTACATGGCTCAGTCATTCAATAAAGTAGCCTTTGTCTAAAAATGCATAAATAAATAAAAATCTAAAATTGAAAACATATACCCCCCATTCTGCTAGGAATCAAATAATTTCAGTCGTTCAGGAAAGAAATAATGTTGTGGACCAACGTTCTCGAGAGTAAGACCACCGACTTCAATTAGGTCTAAAACAGCAAGCGAGGATTTATTGAAACTAGCCAGTGACTGCCTTGGACTTCTCCACGCAGAGAGCAAGCCCAAACAGCAGTAGCAGCCTTGGGGTCAAGCCAGCTTTTATTTGCACAAACCACAAATATTCATCATAACCACCACAAATATCCATAACTGTTACAATGCTCTACAAGCCACAGACATCCTTTTACAATACTCTAGTCAGGGTTCTCACACACAGGTGTGCTGACCAGGAACTTCCAGGGCCATGCATGGCCACCCATCCTTAGCCATATGCTTGGTAACTTGGAACAGGTCACCTCAACCTTTGCTAAGTCTAAAATTTTTCCCATTGCTACTTTAAGTTTGCTTTAAGCCTAGTGCACGACATTAAGAGACAGAAAACCAAGGAGTAAGGTAGGGAGAGAGTCCTGGCATGGATGATGCTTCTCATTCCGTTTCCTGCTCTCAGAGGATCTGCCTCCGGCACAGTTTGCACGGGAACCAGAGCGGCGGGGTGTGGGGCCGAGTGGATGTCCACGGCAGCTCAAGACAGACGTGTGGGGTAAACCACCTGCGGGAGAGGCCCTTTCCCCAGGGGGCCGAGGGGCGGGCGGGCTCCGCCGGGGGGCGTGGGCCGGGAGGGCGTGGCGCCCCCGAGGCCCCGCCCCTCCCGCGCACGCCGATGACGTCCGAGCGCGCCAGCACTTGAGGGAGCCCTGTGGCCGGGAGAACCGCTTCCACGTGCGTATGGCTCGCGCGCGCCGTAGGGATATCCCTGCTTGCCGCACCCGTCACGACCCTCCCCGGGCCTGGTTACCCCCGAGCCGAGCCGAGCCGAGCGGCGCCCGCTGGGCCCGCCAGCCGGCTTCAGGACGGGCGTCCATTGGACGCCGGGCCGCAGGGGCTCCACGTAGACTCATGCCCTCGCCTCTCCCTGCAACAGAAACACACCTGCCGACCCCCTACTGTGTCAGGCGCTGTGCCAGCTGTTGGGGGTGCATCCCCGATGTAGACAGCTCTGTCCTGGCTTCTGTTTCACCGGGACGGAAGTCAAGTGGTGTGATACAGTCCCTGTGAAGGAATTAGGGTGCGGAGGACAACGGCGAGGGCCCCACTTCACCAAGGGTGGGCAGCACGGGGTGGAAGGGGCCGTCAGCACTGATTCGGCAGAAGTGCCCTTTACCGAAATGAGGCCCGAGAGAGAGGGGGGTGGCGGGAGATATTGGTGAGTGACGGAAATCGAGTTCAGTCTGTCAACAAGTTTTATTTGAAAAATTTTAAAAATTCATCCTCACATTGATTTTTAGAGAGAGCGGAAGAGAGGCAGGGAGGGGGAAAGAGAAATTTCAATCGGTTGCCTTCCCACGCGCCCTCAGGGTGGAATCCTACTTGCAAACCAGCTACTTGTCCTTGACTGGGAATGGAACCCGAGTCCCTCCGTGCAGCCCCACGCTCTAACCAGTTATCCACACGGGCCAAGGTTACACGTTTTCGATTTTTCCCTTTTTTAAAAAAATCCTCACCGAATCCCATTGTTTTTTTTTTTAAAAGAGAGTGGAAGGGAGGGAGGAGGTGGGGGAGGGGGAGAGAGAAACATCATGTGAGAGACACATTGGTTGCCTCCGTATGCGCCCTGATCAGGGCCAGGTATTGAACTGAGGTATGTGCCCTTGATTGGGAATCGAACCCGAGAGCCTTGGGTCCATGGGCTAATGCTCTAACCACTGAGAAACCGGGCCAGGATGATTGATTGATTATTTATTTATTTATTTTCTTTTTAAGACCCAAGTATTGTTCTAAGCCTTGGTAATCCAGTGTGTTTACCAATGAAGAAAAACCAGCTATACAGTCCATGCCCACATGGAGATTTTGTTCTTATGGGGAAGGTAGAGCTAAAAAAAAATGTCAGCCATAAGTGCAATATAGGAAATTAAAATAGGGCCATCTGATAGTGACTACTTCAGCCCGGTTTGTCAAAGACATCCATTCCAAGAAAGTGAATTTCTCCTGAAGTCTAAATAGTAAGGAGCTGGCCATGCAAATACATATCAGGGTGAGAAAAATGCCTGCCAGAACTGAACTGGGTGAGTTAGAGGAATAGAAGAGAAGCCAGTGTTGATACATTATGGGTGAGAAGGAGAGTTCCTAAGAACTTACCTGGGACCCAGCAAAGGGCAGGTGCACAGGGACCAAGTGTCACGGATGTATCTACACCCAGGTCCCAGACCGCTAAAGCCCGCATTTTGCAGAATTATTAAAACCCCCAAGGTTACATTTTCAGGTTACCTTGTTTCTCTGAATGTCCCTGTCACTTTCCCCATCAATCCTTAATGCCTCCAAAGCCTCAGCTGTCCTGAAAACTGGAAATAGGTTCAGCAGATAGGCTACAGTGAATGTTATTTTTTTAGGAACCTAACTCATCTCTCCAGCAAGGGACATCTGAAGAGATGTCCTCCGTCCTTCACTTCTATGTCCGTCCCTCTGGCCATGAAGATGCAGCGGCCGGCCACACTCGAAGGAAGCTGCAAGCGAAACTGCCAGAGCTGCAGAGCGTGAAGACCGAGCTGTGCTACAATGTGAACTGGACAGGTTGGACCAAGTATCGGGTTCTTGAGGGAGGTACCCCAGTGCCCAGGCAGTGACTCAAGGATCCTTACCCTGTCTCCCTGCAGCTGAGTCCCTCCCAAGTGCTGAGGAGATGAAGAAGCTGATGTGGCTGTTTGGCTGCCCCTTGTTACTAGATGATGTCGCCCAGGAGTCCTGGCTCCTTCCTGGCTCTAGTGACCTGCTGCTGGAGGTTGGGCCCAGGCAGGTGTCTCCCCTGAGGCAACTCCTTCCATGATCAGGCACACGATTTCTTTTAAACCTACTGCCCACCCCTCCCACTTCCATTCCTTTGCTTCCTCCTCTTGTGATCCTCAGGAGATTTGTTTTTCCTTTGCTCCATCCTACTCCCTGCCTAGAAAACCATGCTTACGCCGTCCCCGTGTGGGAAGATGTCTCCGAAGACTGAGGTAGCTCCCAGGCATGTTCTGGAAATAAAACAGATTGAGTTCTGAGAAATTGAAATCAAAGCATTTTGATGCAAAAAGGACAATTATGGTTTGCTTTGAGTGACCTTTGAAAACAGTTTTATGAGTGCCCGGGTCTGAGGCTGGAGGCCATTGGTGGGGGTAGTAGAGATGGGAGATTTGCTGGACAGCAGTGGGTAGGGTCTGTCTTCTCAGCTGGGGCTCTCAGGTCCTCACCGTGTGGCCCACTCCTCAGGCTGAACTTCTCCACTCCGACGTCCACCAACATCGTGTCAGTGTGCCGGGCCACTGGACTGGGGGCTGGGGACCGCGTGGAGATTACCCGGCGCTACCTGCTCTCGGTGAGGTGGTAGGCCATCAGGATGGGGGATCAGGCGGAGGAGATGGGTCAGGGATAAGAGATTGGGTTCTAAACCCTAGGGCAGTGGTAGGCAAACTGGCCCCTTGAGTGTGGCTCTTCCACAAAATACCATGTGCAGGCGCGCACATACAGTGCGATTGAAACTTCATGGCCCATGCCACGGGGCCAAAGAGCCGCATGTGGCTCGAGAGCCACGGTAGAGACAGGAGGCAGAGCTCCTGGCTTTAGGCCTGCCCTGTTTGCAGGTTATTCACTGCTTGAGGGCGCCTGGTTGAAGAGTGAATGGGACAGAAATTCCAGCCTCTGCTCCCCTCACTAACCTGCATCCTTACATCATGCTGGGAAAGGAACTACTTTTCTAATCTGAACAGGGGTGCCATATAGGCTAGCAGTGGGCTGGCCCTGCCTGGCTTAGAAGATGGAAAGTGGACCATTTTATCTCTTCTTCAGCTCTCTACCCCTTGTACTCTGTGTGTCTCCACCCCTAGTTTGCCCACCCCCCTTCAGCTGAGATGGAGGCCATTGCTCTGGCAACCCTGTATGACCGGATGACGGAGCAGCACTTCCCCCGTCCCATCCAGAGCTTCTCCATCGGGTGCACCCCAACACCCCTCGATGGCCCAATCAACATACTGGCTGAGGGCCGGCCTGCCTTGGAGAAAGCCAACCAGGAGCTAGGTAAGCAGGGAAGAAGGCCCAGGCTAGGCTGGTAGGGATGCTGAGACCTGGGAAGTGGCAGCTTGAGACCAGTAGTCAACTCTGATCGGGCCTGTCTCCTAGGTCTGGCCCTAGACTCCTGGGACCTGGATTTCTACACCAAGCGCTTCCAGGAGCTGCAGCGGAACCCTAGCACAGTGGAGGCCTTTGACTTGGCTCAGTCCAATAGGTAGGGAGGAACGGGGAGGTATGTCCTGATGTCTGAGCCTGTGGAGGTCGGAAGGGAAGACCACAGGGACTTGCTTTCATGGCTCTCTCTTGCTTTATGGGGCCTCCCTGAGTCTGTTTGAAGTCTGGGCTCCCCACCCACCCAGTAGTCTACATTCAAATCTTGGTTTTTCTCTTCACTTTGGATCTGGACGGTCCACAATGACAGTGTTTGAAGATTATGGGGATATATTTTGATATTATCTAAGTATGAGTTGGCTGTAACTCTGCTGTTAATGCTGGTGAGAAGCATGGCAAGGCCTGAGAAATGACCTCAGGTTTCCACCCTGCCTTCCCCTCCCCATGTCATCCCCTACAGCGAGCACAGCCGACACTGGTTCTTCAAGGGCCGACTCCACGTGGATGGGCAGGAGCTGGCACAGTCGCTCTTTGAGTCCATCATGAGCACCCAGGCATTCTCGAATCCCAACAACGTCCTCAAGTTCTGTGATAACAGCAGGTGGGTACGCCCAAGGCTGGGGTAACCTCAGGCCTAGGGGAGGGGAGGCCCTAGACCCTGGTCCGGTAAGGACAGATCCCAAGAAGGAAGCAAAGTCCAGAGCGGATGTGTCCACAGTGCAATCCAGGGGAAGGAAGTCCGATTCCTGCGGCCCGAGGACCCCACACAGCCAAGCTGCTTCCGGCAACAGCAGGGGCTGAGACATGTTGTCTTCACAGCAGAGACCCACAACTTCCCCACAGGTGAGCTGGGTCCTGGGAGGGGTAGAGCAGAGAATGCTGGGGAGTGCTCAGCTCCCAGGCCCCTGGGCTGGGCCTGGGAAAAACAACAGGGCAGGACAGTTGTTTTATTTTCAATGGGGTGGTCAGAGCTTGGGCTTGTCTCTTCAGTACTCAGACCTCTGCCCCCTCTCTTCACAGGAGTAGCCCCCTTCAGCGGTGCAACCACGGGCACAGGGGGCCGGATCCGAGATGTCCAGTGCACGGGACGTGGGGCCCACGTGGTGGCTGGCACTGCTGGCTATTGCTTTGGAAATCTGCACATCCCAGGTCCCATCTCTTTCCTTTCTAGACATCTCTGCTTCCAGATTCCTTGTCCTGGCAGGCGCCGAACACTTGTATCTCTTAAATCAAAGGTCATCCTGGGTCATCATGGGATGGAGGGCTCTAGAGTAATTGGCTTTTCATCGACCATGGTCGTGAGGACTATATGCCGGGGGGGACTCAGGTCACCAGTCTGGCTTTGTAGAACCACAATTTATAAACTAGTATCCACTCATCAAGAAAGTGTGGTACTGGGTCAGACTTATGACCATCACCTGCTCCTAAATCCAGTTACTTAGAAAGGCTTAACTCTGGTCCCAAGAGCCAGGGAAGGCTGGTGTGGGAGGTGAGAAATAAGACCAATCGTTAGGAAAACTGCACCTTCCTAAAATAGGGCTTCCTAAAATGGAACATTCTACGGTGCAGGTAGTCCTTGGTGGCTTAGATTCTTCCCAGAGGCCTGGCTCCTCCGTTTTCCGTTTTTACAGTCCACCCAACTTTCTCTTTCCTCCCAGGTTACAGTCTGCCCTGGGAGGATCCGAGCTTCCAGTATCCTGGGAACTTTGCCCGGCCCCTCGAGGTTGCCATTGAGGCCAGTAATGGGGCTTCTGACTATGGCAACAAGTTTGGGGAGCCAGTGCTGGCCGGTGAGGCTCGGGGGGCACGGGGGATAATAGATACCTAGTACTGGAGGTGGGACGGGGTGTGTGACTGAGTGGGCGCTGAGGAGACTGGGTGGTGATCCTGTCTCCTCTCCCTGTGACGTCCACACTCCAGGCTTTGCCCGCTCCTTGGGCCTCCAGCTCCCAGACAGCCAGCGGCGTGAGTGGATCAAGCCCATCATGTTTAGTGGGGGCATTGGTTCCATGGAAGCCGAGCACGTGAGCAAGGAGCCCCCAGAGTCAGGTAAGAGCCCACCGACGTTTTCCAGATCCAGCTAGCTTTCTCTCCAGCACGTGGCAGATGCGGAGGGGAATTGAGAGGACACTTCAGTGGTCAGTTTTTCATTTCCCAGCCCATGCCTCTTCACAGTACAGGTGGTCAAGGCAGGTCAGGGCTTTAGGCAACGGGCCGCCTCAGTCTTTGTTGCCTCTGTCTCCTGCCCAATTTACTTCATGGCAGGGGCCCACGCTGCAAGGTCAAGGCAGCCAGTGTTTATTCAGTGCCTGTTACATGCCACGGGCTTTTATCTGCTAGCTCAGTTTAGTCGAGCAAACATTTATTGAACACCCATTCCATGCTAGGTCTGTGCCAGGTGCTATAATAGAATCAAGATAAAGGCCAGGTCTCATTTATGACTAGGTGACCCAGTCACGTGGTTCAGAATTGCAAAGGCAAAAGAGGATATGCAGTGAAAACGCCCCTTCCCTGACCTCCAGCCACCCAGTTTCCCTCCCTGGAGATAACCAGTATTAATTAGTAACTTTTGTACCCTATCAGAGGTGCTTCCTGCTTATGTAAACAGAACCGTATGTATATTTGCCCCTTTTATTTATTTATTTTAAATATACTTCTTTTATTGATTTCAGAGAGGAAGGGAGAGGGAGAGAGAGATAGAAATATCAATGATGAGAGAGAATCATTGATTGGCTGCCTCCTGCACGCCCCCCCACTGGGGATCAAGCCCACAACCCAGGCATGTGCCCTTGGCTGGAATTGAACCTGGACCCTTCAGTCTGTAGGCTGATGCTCCATCCACTGAGCCAAACCGACTATGGCTATTTGCCCCCTTTAAAAAGAATAAATAGTGTATGTGCATGCACTTCTTTTTCTTTTTGTCTTTTTTTTTTTAAAATATATTTTATTGATTTTTTTACAGAGAGGAAGGGAAAGGGACAGAGAGTCAGAAACATCAATGAGAGAGAAACATCGATCAGCTGCCTCCTGCACACCCCCCCACTGGGGATATGCCCGCAACCAAGGTACATGCCCTTGACCGGAATCGAACCTGGGACCCTTTAGTCCCCAGGCCGACGCTCTATCCATTGAGCCAAACTGGTTAGGGCACTTCTTTTTCTTTTATTACCTATTTTATTGAGATGTAATTTATGTACCAAAAAGCTTACCCTTTTAAAATGTACTCGTTTTTAGTATATTCACAAAATTTTACATCGATCACCACTAATTCCAGAGCATTTTCATCACCCCAGAAAGAAACCCTGTACCCGTTAGCAGTCATGCCACATCACCCTTGGCCTGTGGCAACCACTAATCTACTTTCTGTCTCTATGGATTTGCCTGTTCTGAACATTTCCTATAAATGGAATCATCCAATGCTTGACCTTTTGTGTCTGGCTTTCACTTAGCATGATATCTTCAAGGTTCATCCATGTTATAGTATGTCTCAGTATTTCATTTCTTTTTATGGCTGAATCGTATTCCATTGTATAGACATTTCACAATTTATTCATTCATCAGGTGATAGACAAGTGGGTTATTTCTATTTTTGGCTATTATGAACAATGCTGCTATAAACATTTGTGTACAAGTCTTTCTGTGTACTTACATTCTTTCTTCTCCTAGATATATAACTAGGAGTGAATTGCTGGGTCACATGGTAACTATATTCAACTTTTTAAAAAAATGGCCAGAGTGCCCAGCCGCTGTGTTTCAGTGGTTAAACCAGGAGGTCATGGTTCGATTCCCAGTCAGGGCACATGCCCAGTTTGTGGGCTTGATCCCCAGTGTGGGGCGTGCAAGAAGCAGTTGATCAATGATTCTCTCTCATCATTGATGTTTCTATCTCTCCCTCTCCCTTCCTCTCTGAAATAAATTTTAAAAATATATATTTAAAAAATAAAAAATGGCCAGAGCAGTACAGCATTTTACATCCCCCTTATGAGGGTCCCAGTTTCTCCAAATCCTCACCAACACTTGTTATTAGCTTTCTATTTGATGATAGTCATCATGTGTGCATAAAGTGGTATCTTATTGTGGTTTGGATTTACAGTTCATATGTTTGTTGGCCATTTGTATATCTTTGGAGAAATGTCTATTTGCCCATTTTTAAATTGGGTTATTTATCTTTTTTTTTATAGAGTTGTAAGAGTTCATTATATATTCTGGATACTAGACCCTTATCAGATAGATACATGGTTTGCAAATACTTTCTCCCATTTTGTGGGTTGTCTTTTTACTTTCTATATGGTATCCTCTGAAGCACAAAAGTTTTTAATTTTGGTAAAATATAATTTAATTTTTCTTTTGCTACTTGTGGTTTTAGTGTCATGACCAAGAAACCATTGCCTAAGCCAAGGTCATGAAGATTTACTTGTATGTTTTCTTGTAATATTTTTGTAACTTTTAGCTCTTACATTGAGGTCTCTGACATTTTAAATTAATTTTTATATTAATTTATAAAACTTCATTCTCTCATACGTGGCTATCCAGTTGTCCCAACACTACCTTTTGAAAAGACTTTTCTTATCCCATTGAATTGTCTTGGGACTCTTGTCAAAAGTCACTTGGCCAGCTCCAGCTGGTTTGGCTCAGTGGATAGAGCATCAGCCTGCAGACTGAAGGGTCCCAGGTCTATTCCGATCAACAGCAGATGCCCGGGTTGCGGGCTTGATCCCCAGTAGGGGCGTGTAGGAGGCAGCCGATCAATGATTCTCTCATCATTGATGTTTCTATCTCTCTCCCGTTCTTCCTTTCTCTCTGAAATCAATAAAAATATATTTTTAAAAAGTCAGTTGGCCATAAATGTATGGGTTTGTTTGTGGACTCAACAGTTCTAGTACATTGACCTATACCAGGTATATTCTGTATATCTATATCTATTTATCCTTATGTTAGTACCATAATCTTGATTACTGTATCTTTGTATTGAATTTTAAAAGCGGAAGTATTGTTTGGCTGTTTGAAGTCCCTCATATTTCCATAGACATTTTAGGATCAGCTGATCAATATCTGTGAAAAAGGTGACTGATTGTGTTGATTCTACAGATCTTTTGGGGGAGTATTGCTATCAAAACAATATCAATTTTTTCACTCTATGAACATGAGATCCCTTTCCATTTATTTAAATCTACTATCATATAATTTTCAGAGTAAGTTTTACATTTCTATTGTTAAATTTATTTCTAAGTAATTTATTCTTTTTAATGCTGTTGTTAATGGGTGTGCATACTTCTAAACATTGCTTTTCTTTAACCTAGCAATATATTTTGGAGATTATTTCATACCGATGCAGTCATATTACTTCATTATATTCATATGTAATTCTTTTCTTTGGTGGCTTAGTGTTTCATTGTGTGGATATACCATAATTTTATTTAATCAGTTCTCTATTGTTATCATTTAAATTATTTCCTAAATTTGGTAATACAAATAATGCTGCAGTGTTTAATTTTGGACATAGGTGATTCTGTACCTGTGAAAATAAATCTGGAGGATAAATTCCTCTAAGTGTATTTATCCAATCAAAGAATATGTATGTTTGTGATTTTTGATTGCTCTATCCTAATATCAGCTATCCTTTGTCCTCACACTTCTTCATACTCATACTTTTTAATCACTTCCTCAGTGTTCTGAGTCTTCCCTCCCTCCTTGCAGGCATGGATGTTGTAAAGGTTGGGGGTCCTGTCTACAGGATTGGAGTGGGGGGCGGAGCTGCTTCGTCTGTACAGGTGAGTAGGAATAGCTGTAGATGCAGACTCCATGATATCGCCAGGCCCCGTGTGCGGATGGGGAGTGGGAGCTCCTAAGCCCCCTGAGCTGAGCTATGCCACACGTTCCCGCAGGTGCAGGGAGACAATGCCAGTGAGCTGGACTTCGGGGCTGTGCAGCGGGGAGACCCGGAGATGGAACAGAAGATGAACCGTGTGATTCGGGCTTGTGTGGAGGCCCCCAGGGGAAACCCCATCTGCAGCCTCCATGACCAGGGTGCTGGTGGCAATGGTGAGAGAAGGGGCTGGCCTACCTGGTCTCCTGCCAGGTTTGGTTTAGGAAGAGGCGTCAAGAATCTGCAATGAACCATGGAGCTCTGGTCTCCACCCCCTATTCTGTGTGGACAGGTGAAGGTTGGGGCACGGAAGCCTACTGCATGGGACAGTGGGTGGTGCGGGTGTAGCAGTGATTCACACAGGGACACACAGAACTTGGAGGCCAGGGACTGCCCTTTGTGTGCCTGGTGCTGACCAGACCCAGATCACCCCCTCTTCCTGCAACCCTCTCACCAGGCAATGTCCTAAAGGAGCTGAGCGACCCGGCTGGAGCCATTATTTACACCAGCTGCTTCCAGGCGAGTCTCTCCCCGGAAGTCTGGCCATCATAGTCTCTCCAGCCCAGCCTGCCCACATGAAACTTGGGAGTACCCACTGACCCTTCTCTTTCCTCCTCCTCCATGGTGTGCAGCTTGGGGACCCAACCCTGAACGCCCTGGAAATCTGGGGGGCTGAGTACCAGGAGTCTAATGCGCTTCTGCTGAGGCCCTCAGACCGGGACTTCCTGCGTCGGGTCGGCGCCCGGGAACGCTGCCCAGCTTGCTTCGTGGGCACCATCACTGGAGACAGGAGAGTGAGTTGGCCCCCGAAGCAGACACTGTGGGTGGGCTTGAGCTGCTTGGGTACAGCTGGTGGCAAACGTGTTATGGGGAGCAGGATGTGGGAGGCAGAAAGGGCTAGGAACTCACCAGGGGAAACCAGCCGGGGGAAGAGCTTTCTGCCCTGCTTCCTGAAGCGCTCCCTGCGGTGGTCGTTGTCTCATTCCCTCTGGGCACCGTGCCTGTGGCCTACAGATAGTGCTGGTGGATGATCGGCAGTGTCCTGTGGGAAGAAAGGGCCAGGGAGATGCCCCCTTGATGCCTAACACAACCCCTGTGGACCTGGAGCTGGACTGGGTGCTGGGCAAGATGCCTCGGAAGGTACGTGGGGTGGGGGAGGAGGCCGAGTTTCTCCTCTCCTGGCCCTGTCGCCCTGCCTGTGCTTTGTCACCTGGGTGCCAGCCCTCCCCCAGGTGCTTACACCCCGATTGCCATCTGTGTTGCAGGAGTTCTTCCTCCAGAGGACTGTCCCTTTGCTGCAGCCTCTGGTCCTGCCTCCGGGGCTGAGCGTGCGCCAGGCCCTGGAGCGGGTCCTGAGGCTGCCTGCTGTGGCCAGCAAGCGCTACCTCACCAACAAGGTCCTCCCTGCAGTCCTGCCCTGGCCCTCAGCCCTCTGCCCTCTTCCCCCAGCTCACCCACCCCTGGCCTCCCATCCTTGGGGACTGCCGTGGGGTTCACCAGACCCAAGGGAGAAGGGGCAGGGCAGCCACCCTCATGGCCTCTGGTCTGCATGGTCAAGGCAAGCCAGGCCTCCCGCCACCCCTGTGTCCCTGGCCCTTGTGCTCTTGCCAACCCCCCCTGGTTCCACAGGTGGACCGCTCCGTGGGTGGCCTGGTGGCCCAGCAGCAGTGTGTCGGGCCCCTGCAGACTCCTCTAGCAGACGTGGCAGTTGTGGCACTGAGTCACCAGGAGCTCGTAGGGGCTGCCACAGCCCTGGGAGAGCAGCCGGTCAAGAGCCTGCTGGACCCCAAGGCTGCTGCCCGGCTGGCTGTGGCCGAGGCCCTCACCAACCTGGTGTTTGCTCTAGTCACTGACCTCCGGGTGAGCCCCCCACAGCTTCTGCCTGGAGCCCTGGCCTCTGGGACACATCCACATCCACCATTCAGTTACCCCGCTGCCCTTCATGCTGTGGCCTCCCTTCCCCTCTAATGCCAAGTCTCTGCCCCTTCCCAGGATGTGAAGTGCAGTGCGAACTGGATGTGGGCAGCCAAGCTCCCAGGGGAGGGGGCGGCTCTGGCCGATGCCTGTGAGGCTATGGTGGCAGTGATGGCGGCCCTGGGGGTAGTGATGGCGGCCCTGGGGGTGGCAGTGGACGGCGGCAAGGACTCCCTCAGCATGGCTGCCCGGGTTGGCTCTGAGACTGTGTTGGCTCCTGGTGAGGTCTGGGGGCCACTGGGAGAGGGATGGGACCTTGCGGGTCCGGGCTGGTACCTTACTCTCTTACTCCTTGCTCCATAGGGTCACTGGTCATCTCAGCCTATGCAGTCTGTCCAGACATTACAGCCACTGTGACCCCAGACCTCAAGTGTCCTGGAGGGAGAGGTATGGGTTCTGGCCCTCTCCCTGCATTGTGTATTCAGAGCCTGGTTCTTTGTTTGGGTCTCCATCGTGAATGCTAACCAGCCCTCGCCACGTCCTGCCCCATGTCCGCAAGGGCTGCGGTGCTTTCTGGGACTGGGTCTGTGGGAACTTAGGTGCTCGTGAGCCATCCATCTCCCCTCACCTTTCCCTGTCCCTCCAGGCCGTCTGCTGTACGTGCCCCTGAGTCCTGGGCAGCACCGGCTGGGGGGCACAGCCCTGGCCCAGTGCTTCTCCCAGCTTGGTGAGCACCCTCCCGACCTGGACCTTCCTGGAAACTTGGTGCGAGCCTTCAGCATCACCCAGGGGCTGCTGAGCGGTGAGCGAGGCCCCGGTGCAGGGGGTGGGTATGGCCGGCAGTGGCAGCATTCCCCAGCTGAGCATGTGAGGGTGGGCAGGAGGGAGCAGTCGCTCTCCTCTCTGGCTCTGTGTGTGCCCACATCCTCACACATACTCTCTACCCATGAGCAGGGGCGTGGCTTGGCCTCGGAGGTTGCTGAGCTTTTTTCCTCTTCCCCCAGACCGCCTCCTCTGCTCAGGCCACGACGTCAGCGATGGGGGTCTCATCACCTGCCTGCTGGAGATGGCCTTTGCTGGGAATTGTGGGATAGAGGTGGACGTGCCTGCCTCTGAGGTCGATGGTGAGGAGCACAGGGTCCAGACTCAGGCGTCAGCTGCCTGCCCCACCCTGCAGACCCCGTGTCCTGTTCAAGAATAGAGTGTCCCCAACTCCTTTTCCCCTGAGTCCCTTGCTGTCTTCTCTGACCACTGAGCCAGGTGGCACCCACTGTTCTGACTGTATCCCAATCTCATAGACCTCACCCCACCTCAGTCCTCAAGCCAGTCCCTGCCTCCACTCCCTCAATCCTCAGTCATACCCCCCTGACTACCCGAGTCATATCAGTACTCGAGTCCCCCTGACGCCCCCGCTGCTCTCCCAGTGCTGCCTGTGCTGTTCGCTGAGGAGCCAGGCCTGGTCCTGGAGGTGCAGGAGACAGACCTGGCCCAGGTGCTAAAGCGCTATCAGGATGCTGGCCTCCACTGCCTGGAGCTGGGCCACACGGGTCACGTCGGGCCCCGTGCCATGGTGAGGAAGAGCGGGTGTGGAGGGCGGTGTGGCTCACCTCCTCCAGCCTCAGGTTGGGCATTTTGCCCTTGGCCTCTGAGAGATTCGCCCCCCTCTAGGTCCGGGTGTCAGTGAACGGGGCTGTGGCTCTGGAGGAGCCTGTTGGGCAGCTGCGAGCCCTCTGGGAAGAGACGAGTTTCCAGCTGGACCGGCTGCAGGCAGAGCCGAGCTGTGTGGCAGAGGAGGAACAAGGGCTCAGGGAGCGGACAGGGCCCCGCTACTGCCTGCCCCCCAGCTTTCCCAAAGCGTCCGTGCCCCACGAGCCCGGTGAGGAAGTGTGTGCAGAGGCTTGGCTTCCTGGGCACCTTGGGCCTGGAGGCCCAGGCCTGCTCTGCAAAAGGAGTCTGGGGGCCTTGGCCAGGGAGCTCAGTTACTTAGAGCATCATCCCGACACACCACGGTTTCGGGTTTGATTCCTGGTTGGAGCACATACAAGAAGCAACCAATGAATGTATAAAAAAGTGAAAAAACAAATCAATCTCTCTCTCTCTCTCTATCTATCTATCTATCTATCTATCTATCTATCTCTACCTTCCTCTCTCTCTCAAATTAATAAAAATTTAGGGATAAAAAGGTGTCTAGGGGTTGTGGTGGGAAGTGGCCCTCTAGAAGAGACACTTCTCCCCCCCAGGTGGTCCCACCCCCCGAGTCGCCATCTTGCGAGAGGAGGGCAGTAACGGAGACCGGGAGATGGCCGATGCCTTCTGAGCAGTGAGCCTGGCAGAGCTGGGGATGGGCCTCAGACTGTGTCCTCTGACACTCCCCCCCTCCCCCCCCCCATCCTGCCAGGTGTGGGACGTGACCATGCAAGACCTCTGCTCGGGGGCAATCAAGCTGGACACGTTCCGCGGTGTGGCCTTCGTGGGCGGCTTCAGCTACGCAGATGTCCTGGGCTCTGCCAAAGGTCAGCGCGCAGGCTCTGCCCACTTCCTCCCCTCACATTCCTGAGGAGGTGCCTTAGCTCCCCTCCTCCTAGGCTGGGCCTTGGCCTCGCACCTCCACAGGCCAGGGGAGAGGGCGTTCATTCTGGGCCAGATGCCTCACTTAAATGAGGCAGGTGGCCGGTGGGGCAGTGCCCCCTCGGCTGGAGGGCACGCGCCCTGACTAACCTCCAGCAGATGGTGCTGTGGGAGAGCTGGCTCAGCATGGCTCAATCCTTCTGTTTTTTAAGAGAAGCCAGAAATCCAGATTTTCATATGAAATCTTATTTTTAAACGTTAAGCAACTAAATAAAAATGTTTGAAAATGCTCTGCTGGTCCAGCAAAAGACTTCTCATGGGCCATGTCTGGCCCAGGATTGGCAATATGAATTAAGCAGATGAACCCATTTCTTCCCCTACACTTGCCCTGAGCTCTGCAGAGGGGGCGGGCCTGAGGGCATGTAACAGTGCATGTTAGCGGGGAAAGCAGCCTTCTCCCTTCATTCCAAGTCTCACCCCACCTGTCCTGCTCCCTCCTAGGGTGGGCAGCTGCCGTGACCTTTCATCCACAGGCCGGGGCTGAGCTGAGGCGCTTCCGCAAGCGGCCAGACACCTTCAGCCTGGGCGTGTGTAACGGCTGTCAGCTGCTGGCTCTGCTGGGCTGGGTGGGAGGCAGCCCCAACGAGGAGGAAGAGGAGACGGGCCACGACGCCGACTCCTGGGCAGCCCAGCCCGGCCTCCTGCTTCGCCACAACCTGTCTGGGCGTTTTGAGTCTCGCTGGGCCAGTGTGCGTGTGGGGCCCGGGCCAGCCCTGATGCTCCGAGGGATGGAGGGGGCCGTGCTGCCTGTGTGGAGCGCCCATGGTGAAGGTGAGGCGACGGGAAGGCAGGGGGAGTGTCGGGGGGCAGGGGTGGGGAGAGGGCATGAAGCAGCTTTGCTCTTGCTCCCCTTCTCCTTCCCTCCCAGGTTACATGGCGTTTTCTTCTCCGGAACTCCAAGCCCAGATCGAGGCCAAGGGCTTGGCTCCACTGCACTGGGCAGACGATGACGGGAACCCCACGGAACAGTACCCCCTCAATCCCAACGGGTCCCCAGGGGGCGTGGCTGGTGTCTGCTCTCCTGATGGCCGCCACCTGGCCCTCATGCCTCACCCTGAGCGGGCTGTGAGGCCCTGGCAGTGGGCATGGCAGCCCCCTCCGTTCGACACTCTCACCACCTCCCCCTGGCTCCAGCTCTTCATCAACGCCTGGAACTGGACCCGGGAAGGAGGCTGCTGAGCCGCCAGGAGACTCCTCTGGCCTCATGGTTTGTCCCTGGGGTGCTGCTGCTCTCTACCTCGTCACCTTCAGAAGCACCCTCATTATTTTCAAATGTGTCTTGGACAGATAAGGACCAAAATTCAAAAAAAAACCCGCCCACTTTTGCCTTATGTTTTTGTTTTTTTTTGTTGTTTTTTTTAAATTTTGTTTTATTGCTTAAAGTATTACAAAGAGTATTACATATGTTTCCTTTTTTTTTCCCCCCTTGACCTTCCCCCGGCCTCCCGTACCCCACAGTGTTTTGTGTCCATTGGTTATGCTTATATGCATGCATACATGTCCTTCGGTTGATCTCTTACCCCACCAACCCTCCCCGGCCTTCCCGCTGTAGTTTGACAGTCTGTTCGATGCTGCTCTGCCTCTGTATCTATTTTTGTTCATCAGTTTATAATGGTCTTTATTATCCGTAAATGAGTGAGATCATGTGGTATTTTTCTTTCATTGACTGGCTTATTTCACTTAGCATAATGCTCTCCAGTTCCATCCATGCTGTTGCAAATGGTAAGAATTCCTTCTTTTTTACAGCAGCATAGTATTCCATTGTGTAGATGTACCACAGTTTTCTAATCCATTCATCTGATGGGCACTTAGGCTGTTACCAGATCTTAGCTATGGTAAATTGTGCTGCTATGAACATAGGGGTGCATATATCCTTTCTGATTGGTGTTTCTGGTTTCTTGGGATATATTCCTAGAAGTGGGATCACGGGTTCAAATGGGAGTTCCATTTTTAACTTTTTGAGGAAACTCCATACTGTCTTCCATAGTGGCTGAACCAGTCTGCATTCCCACCAGCAGTGCACGAGTGTTCCTTTTTCTCCGCATCCTCTCCAGCACTTGTCGTTTGTTGATTTGTTGATGATAGCCATTCTGACAGGTGTGAGATGGTACCTCATTGTTGTTTTGATTTGCATTTCTCGGATGATTAGTGACTTAGAGCATGTTTTCATATGTCTCTTGGCTTTCTGAATGTCCTCTTTTGAAAAGTGTCTAGGTCCTTTGCCCATTTTTTGATTGGATTGTTTATCTTCCTTTTGTTAAGTTGTATGAGTTCCCTATAAATGTTGGAGATTAGGCCCTTATCAGATATAACATTGGCAAATATGTTCTCCCACGCAGTGGGCTTTCTTGTTGTTTTGTTGATGGTTTCTTTTGCTGTGCAGAAGCTTTTTATTTTGATGTAGTCCCATTTGTTTATTTTCTCTTTAGTTTCCAATGCCCTGTTGGGTTTGTTTGCAGTATTTCTGCTGTAATTTTTTTTTTATCCTTCATGAGCCCAGGAAGCAACATGTGGTTCAGAGAAAAGAATCTGCAGTAGAAAATTAGAATTCACGGAGCGGGGTGGGGTGAGGGGGAAGGTTCCATTGACCTACTTCCCTTCACCACGTGGTGCTTCATGTCACTCACCTGGGCTCGGAGGGATGTTTTCCGGCCCTTTGCTCATCACTGAGGTTTAGAGGGTGGAGCCAAACAAAAGCATGCAAGTCCGGATGTCAGCATTCTTATCTGAAAAACAGCAGAAGCTTTCTGGATTCCTCATTAAAAATGCAGCATTGTGTCCATGTAAGCTTTTGTTGGCAGAAGTTTCTCCGATAGGGTCTCTGGCCTCTGAACTCAATATTCCTAATTTTGCTTCTAATTTAACAGCTTCCTTCCTGACAGGAGTGGTCAGCACTTTCATTCCTACAACTGAGCCTTAACCCTTCTATTAATATCGGGTGATTAGTTGCAGTGCCAAGCGCTGTCATTGCCCCAGGGAATTTATGTCTAACGGGATTTAAAACAGTAGCTGAATGTGGCATTTACCATGAGCCAAGCATGTGCTAGGCGGTTTATATGTATCTAAGTTATTTCTCACAGAATTCAGCAAGGTACTAGCCCCATTTCTTAAAAAAAAAAAGGAAGAAAGAATGGAGGTTAAATTGCCTAGAGGTCACACAGCTGTAAGCGGCAGAGCCAGGCCCATGCTCCCTCGTGCTGCATCTGCGGCTCACTGTCCTGCAGTCACATTTCTTGGCAGCAGCATTATCAAGAGTTCCTGCTGACAGCTACCCGTCGCTTCCTTTACTCACAGGACTGTGTGTAGAAGTCACTTCCTGCCCCGACCTGCAGGGCACGCATCGTGGGTACACCGCACCAAATCCTGCAAAGGAATGAGAGGATAGGAGACGCGAAGAAGTGGAGGCAAGACAAAGTTCTGATCAAGCCTCAGTTTTATTTTTACAGCGAGGGGTATTTATGTTATTTCTAGAGGAGGGGAGTGGGTAAAGGGGGTCCATGGGCTGTAACCTATCATTAAGGATGTAACAAAGGCTCTGGAATGTCACAGCTATGCGCTTATCAGCGGAGATGTAGCAGGTTTGTGCTTAGGGTGAGGGTAGGTTATCTTTTAACTCCAGGCCAAACGGGGAGTTGGCTTGGAGGAGCCATAAACCTATTATGCTGTAAACTGGAGATGTATATGTGATTTATAATGGCTCCCAACAACTTCCTGTGACTTCTCTGTTATACAACTCAAGTTCATTTGCCCCTAAATAGTTCAACATCTTTTTTTTTAAATTTATTTTTAAAATATGTTTTTATTGTTTTCAGAGAGGAAGGGAGAGAGAGATAGAGACATCAATGATGGGAGTGATCATTGATCAGCTGTCTCCTGCGCACCCCACATTGGGGCTTGAGCCCACAACCCGGGCATGTGCCCTGACTGGGAATTGAACCATGACCTCCTGATTCATAGGTCGATGCTCAACCACTGAGCCACCCCGGCCAGGCATACATAGTTCAGCATCTTGATGAAAGATGTATCCCTGAGAATGGAGACTATTATCTCAGATCCTGGAGTGTATGGGGCCTGGGGGAGTGGGGAGATGGATCACACCTCTCCGAAGAGACTGGTCACAATGAGACTTAAATGAGGGCTATGGAGAAAATAATTGTTTCTTGTTTTGCAAACTGACTCACCCTGAGCAGTGTGGGGCTAATATGGATTATTTTGTGCATTTGAGTATTCCTGCCCTTGGGAAGCAGTGTGTATGTATATGTAAAATGTTTAGATAATCTCAAATGTATAATTTGAGGGCAGATAGCAAGGCTTAGATACCAAGTTTACTAAATGCTTGATGCACAAGGAGGATGGTGTGTGATTACCTGCTGATTGGTTGTGATGGGTAAATTCATACATTTTGGTGGTGGAACAGTTTCTGGTGTGGATCACCCTCTGACACTGCCAGGACCAGCTTCTCATCTGTTCTCATCCAGTAGCCACACAACTCTGTCCTTCCTGGCCCCTGGCCCAGCTCCTGTCTTTCCCGACCTCTCTCAAGACCCTTTAGCAAACTCCTCCAGGCTTTCTCTTCTCTGCACCTCTTCACTGCATGGAAAACACCAGTTCTCCTCTGAAAACCTCTCCAAGTGATGGCTTTTATTCTCACACCTCACCGCACCGTCCTCGGGCCAGGGAGTTGGAATTTGGGTCTTCCCTGTAGCACTTCCACTCTCTTCGTAGAGAATCAATCGTGCCCATCTTAGGTTGATGCCTTCCTATGTCACCTTCACCCCTTCTTTGTGTTCTGCCTGCTTACCCAGTACTCCCTGTGGAGGAGACGGCCCAATGCTCCCATATCCCGATTCCCCCTCTAGAAACAGAATCCTCCAGTATTTTAGCAGGGGCGGTGGCTTCTCAAAATAAAGACCTCTCCCCACTTCCCTTCCACCTGACTAGATGCTGGCCAATGGGAGAGAAAGTGGTGTGTACAACTTCCAAGTGTCCTTAAAGGACGGGTGCTTGCTTCTCTTCATTCTTGCTTCCTGCTGGGTTGACAGGGTGAGGAGACAGGGAGAACCAGTAAGTCTTGTCTTAATTGGACAAAAGAAACAGCACTGAGCTGAGCAAGCATGATAGTCTCCTGTGGGCGCATGTGCTGGAAAGAGCACTGCTGGTGGAGGCTGAGGACAGGGAGGAGTGTACAGAGGGTCCACATGGGGCTACCTGGAGAAGGCCACTTTCTCCAGAGTGTCCCTCCAAACAGCACCTGGGACACCAGACACAACCAGGGCATGGACACGGGAACTGACTGCAAGGAGAAGAGGTGGGACAGACATTTGTGAGCCTGAGGGAGGCGGGGGTCTCACAGCAGCTGAGCCTTCAGCGTCCCCCAGTCCCATGAGCTGTATTCCCCCAGCACCTGTGGTATTCAAGACCCTGGGGCGAAATCAAAGAAATCTGTCATTGGGCACTTGAGGGCAGCAAACAGCCACCGGGTGGAGCCCTGTGGACTGAAATAATGGAGCCTGGGTCTTGGGTCCTATCTCGGCCTTCAGGAAAGACCTTCCTCTGTGAGCAACCCACCAGGAGTGCCTGTGACGGTGGGCCGTTTTCCCCTGGGGAAGGGTGGGTTTGCCAGCTTCACCTGCCTGGTCAGGCTGCAGGAGCAGTCTGTGACTACAGAAGGGGACAAAGGATATGACACCCAATCTGTCATTTGGGTAAGAAAATGGCCAAGGGCCTCCTCCCAGGTGGCACACATGGAGGGAGAAAGTTGGAACAAGAATTTCTTCCTTAAAAAAATAGATATACATATTTCAGAGAGGAAGGGAGAGGGAAAGAGAGAAACATCAATCATGAAAGAGAACATTGATTGGCTGCCTCCTACATGCCCCCTCCTAGGGATTGAGCCCACAACCCCGGGCATGGGCCCTGACTGGGAAATCAAACCTTGACCTCCTGGTTCGTAGCTCAATGCTCAACCACTGAGCCACATGGGCTGGAACAAGCAATTTCAATGAAGTATCTTTTAGGGCAGGGGTTCTCAAACTGTGGGTCACGACCCCTTTGGCGGTTGAACGACCCTTTCACAGGGGTCGCCTAAGACCATCCTGCATATCAGATATTGACATTACGATTCATAATAGTAGCAACATTACAGTTATGAAGTAGCAACAAAAATAATTTTATGGTTGGGTCACAACATGAGGAACTGTATTTAAAGGTCCAGAAGGTTGAGAACCACTGTTTTAGGGGAAGCTCAGGGTCCCGTGGGAACCCATAGCAGGGAATGCAGCCCAAAGTTTGAGGATCAAGGAAGGATTCCTGGGATTTGCTGAGACCTGAGGA